GCATGTACAGTTAGGACAGGTATCTGACGTGAAACCCCTGTAAACACACACAGGTATCTGATGCGCATGTACAGTTAGGACAGGTATCTGACGTGAAACCCCTGTAAACACACACAGGTATCTGATGCGCATGTACAGTTAGGACAGGTATCTGACGTGAAACCCCTGTAAACACACACACAGGTATCTGATGCGCATGTACAGTTAGGACAGGTATCTGTGAAACCTGTAAACACAACAGGTATCTGATGCGCATGTACAGTTAGGACAGGTATCTGACGTGAAACCCCTGTAAACACACACAGGTATCTGATGCGCATGTACAGTTAGGACAGGTATCTGACGTGAAACCCCTGTAAACACACACAGGTATCTGATGCGCATGTACAGTTAGGACAGGTATCTGACGTGAAACCCCTGTAAACACACACACAGGTATCTGATGCGCATGTACAGTTAGGACAGGTATCTGACGTGAAACCCCTGTAAACACACACAGGTATCTGATGCGCATGTACAGTTAGGACAGGTATCTGACGTGAAACCCCTGTAAACACACACACAGGTATCTGATGCGCATGTACAGTTAGGACAGGTATCTGACGTGAAACCCTGTAAACACACACAGGTATCTGATGCGCATGTACAGTTAGGACAGGTATCTGACGTGAAACCCCTGTAAACACACACAGGTATCTGATGCGCATGTACAGTTAGGACAGGTATCTGACGTGAAACCCCTGTAAACACACACAACGGTATCTGATGCGCATGTACAGTTAGGACAGGTATCTGACGTGAAACCCCTGTAAACACACACAGGTATCTGATGCGCATGTACAGTTAGGACAGGTATCTGACGTGAAACCCCTGTAAACACACACACAGGTATCTGATGCGCATGTACAGTTAGGACAGGTATCTGACGTGAAACCCCTGTAAACACACACACAGGTATCTGATGCGCATGTACAGTTAGGACAGGTATCTGACGTGAAACCCCTGTAAACACACACAGGTATCTGATGCGCATGTACAGTTAGGACAGGTATCTGACGTGAAACCCCTGTAAACACACACAACGGTATCTGATGCGCATGTACAGTTAGGACAGGTATCTGGCGTGAAACCCCTGTAAACACACACACAGGTATCTGATGCGCATGTACAGTTAGGACAGGTATCTGACGTGAAACCCCTGTAAACACACACACAGGTATCTGATGCGCATGTACAGTTAGGACAGGTATCTGACGTGAAACCCCTGTAAACACACACAGGTATCTGATGCGCATGTACAGTTAGGACAGGTATCTGACGTGAAACCCCTGTAAACACACACACAGGTATCTGATGCGCATGTACAGTTAGGACAGGTATCTGACGTGAAACCCCTGTAAACACACACACAGGTATCTGATGCGCATGTACAGTTAGGACAGGTATCTGACGTGAAACCCCTGTAAACACACACAGGTATCTGATGCGCATGTACAGTTAGGACAGGTATCTGACGTGAAACCCCTGTAAACACACACAGGTATCTGATGCGCATGTACAGTTAGGACAGGTATCTGACGTGAAACCCCTGTAAACACACACACAGGTATCTGATGCGCATGTACAGTTAGGACAGGTATCTGACGTGAAACCCCTGTAAACACACACACAGGTATCTGATGCGCATGTACAGTTAGGACAGGTATCTGACGTGAAACCCCTGTAAACACACACACAGGTATCTGATGCGCATGTACAGTTAGGACAGGTATCTGACGTGAAACCCCTGTAAACACACACAGGTATCTGATGCGCATGTACAGTTAGGACAGGTATCTGACGTGAAACCCCTGTAAACACACACAGGTATCTGATGCGCATGTACAGTTAGGACAGGTATCTGACGTGAAACCCCTGTAAACACACACACAGGTATCTGATGCGCATGTACAGTTAGGACAGGTATCTGACGTGAAACCCCTGTAAACACACACACAGGTATCTGATGCGCATGTACAGTTAGGACAGGTATCTGACGTGAAACCCCTGTAAACACACACACAGGTATCTGATGCGCATGTACAGTTAGGACAGGTATCTGACGTGAAACCCCTGTAAACACACACAGGTATCTGATGCGCATGTACAGTTAGGACAGGTATCTGACGTGAAACCCCTGTAAACACACACAGGTATCTGATGCGCATGTACAGTTAGGACAGGTATCTGCGTGAAACCCCTGTAAACACACACACAGGTATCTGATGCGCATGTACAGTTAGGACAGGTATCTGACGTGAAACCCCTGTAAACACACACACAGGTATCTGATGCGCATGTACAGTTAGGACAGGTATCTGACGTGAAACCCCTGTAAACACACACACAGGTATCTGATGCGCATGTACAGTTAGGACAGGTATCTGCGTGAAACCCCTGTAAACACACACACAGGTATCTGATGCGCATGTACAGTTAGGACAGGTATCTGACGTGAAACCCCTGTAAACACACACACAGGTATCTGATGCGCATGTACAGTTAGGACAGGTATCTGACGTGAAACCCCTGTAAACACACACACAGGTATCTGATGCGCATGTACAGTTAGGACAGGTATCTGACGTGAAACCCCTGTAAACACACACAGGTATCTGATGCGCATGTACAGTTAGGACAGGTATCTGACGTGAAACCCCTGTAAACACACACAGGTATCTGATGCGCATGTACAGTTAGGACAGGTATCTGACGTGAAACCCCTGTAAACACACACACAGGTATCTGATGCGCATGTACAGTTAGGACAGGTATCTGACGTGAAACCCCTGTAAACACACACACAGGTATCTGATGCGCATGTACAGTTAGGACAGGTATCTGACGTGAAACCCCTGTAAACACACACACAGGTATCTGATGCGCATGTACAGTTAGGACAGGTATCTGCGTGAAACCCCTGTAAACACACACACAGGTATCTGATGCGCATGTACAGTTAGGACAGGTATCTGACGTGAAACCCCTGTAAACACACACAGGTATCTGATGCGCATGTACAGTTAGGACAGGTATCTGACGTGAAACCCCTGTAAACACACACACAGGTATCTGATGCGCATGTACAGTTAGGACAGGTATCTGACGTGAAACCCCTGTAAACACACACACAGGTATCTGATGCGCATGTACAGTTAGGACAGGTATCTGACGTGAAACCCCTGTAAACACACACAGGTATCTGATGCGCATGTACAGTTAGGACAGGTATCTGACGTGAAACCCCTGTAAACACACACAGGTATCTGATGCGCATGTACAGTTAGGACAGGTATCTGACGTGAAACCCCTGTAAACACACACACAGGTATCTGATGCGCATGTACAGTTAGGACAGGTATCTGACGTGAAACCCCTGTAAACACACACACAGGTATCTGATGCGCATGTACAGTTAGGACAGGTATCTGACGTGAAACCCCTGTAAACACACACACAGGTATCTGATGCGCATGTACAGTTAGGACAGGTATCTGACGTGAAACCCCTGTAAACACACACACAGGTATCTGATGCGCATGTACAGTTAGGACAGGTATCTGCGTGAAACCCCTGTAAACACACACACAGGTATCTGATGCGCATGTACAGTTAGGACAGGTATCTGACGTGAAACCCCTGTAAACACACACACAGGTATCTGATGCGCATGTACAGTTAGGACAGGTATCTGCGTGAAACCCCTGTAAACACACACAGGTATCTGATGCGCATGTACAGTTAGGACAGGTATCTGACGTGAAACCCCTGTAAACACACACACAGGTATCTGATGCGCATGTACAGTTAGGACAGGTATCTGCGTGAAACCCCTGTAAACACACACACAGGTATCTGATGCGCATGTACAGTTAGGACAGGTATCTGACGTGAAACCCCTGTAAACACACACAGGTATCTGATGCGCATGTACAGTTAGGACAGGTATCTGACGTGAAACCCCTGTAAACACACACACAGGTATCTGATGCGCATGTACAGTTAGGACAGGTATCTGACGTGAAACCCCTGTAAACACACACACAGGTATCTGATGCGCATGTACAGTTAGGACAGGTATCTGACGTGAAACCCCTGTAAACACACACACAGGTATCTGATGCGCATGTACAGTTAGGACAGGTATCTGACGTGAAACCCCTGTAAACACACACACAGGTATCTGATGCGCATGTACAGTTAGGACAGGTATCTGACGTGAAACCCCTGTAAACACACACAGGTATCTGATGCGCATGTACAGTTAGGACAGGTATCTGACGTGAAACCCCTGTAAACACACACACAGGTATCTGATGCGCATGTACAGTTAGGACAGGTATCTGACGTGAAACCCCTGTAAACACACACACAGGTATCTGATGCGCATGTACAGTTAGGACAGGTATCTGCGTGAAACCCCTGTAAACACACACACAGGTATCTGATGCGCATGTACAGTTAGGACAGGTATCTGGCGTGAAACCCCTGTAAACACACACACAGGTATCTGATACACATGTACAAAAGAAAGATTTAAGTATAATTTCTGCAATAATGTGTTTAACTACCTACCAAATTGGTATCAAAAATGAAGATTATGCACTGGGGAAAATATTTAGACCTACCTTGCTTAATTTGAAATGTCCTAAATACATGGAATTGCTAAAAAATATTAAATAAATGTCATAGAAAGGATAAAATTTTACTTTCTAACACATGTTGAGACATTGTTACAACATTATTTTTTTATTTAATGTTCAAATAATGTTTTGGCAGATACAACCTTATAATTCTAAGCGAAAAGTGTTTTTTATCTGCATTTGACCCATTCCAAAAACCCCCATTTACAAATTTGAGAGGATTTTGATATTGCATGTTTAGAATACATTTAGGGTGCCTGTTATTTTCATGTTTGAATGAAACTTGTGTGAAAGGTCTGTAGTGTGAAAGGTCTGTAGCTCACAATGGTGATCTGATGAAAGTCCATTTCTAATAATATGCAGCTTGATCTGGCGACCAAGGCAAGAGATTAAGGAAAGAAAGAGAGAGAGAGAGAGAAAATGCTTATATTTCTTCAGTACAAAGGGATGAATAAAAGGTCCAAACTGAACTGAGGGACTAAAAATGTAATTTTGTGCTATGTAAAACCATGCATATCTACCATAATTTATTTTTAAATAATAAAATTATAATTGTAGTATTTAAAAAACATATACATGACGTGTCTTCCTGCTCCAGCGGCCTACTGAGTCTGATTGTGCTTCCCACAGTAGAGGCATCATATACAGAACAAAACCCATCCTCACAGCCTTCCCTATTGGTCGGCTGACTGCCAACGAATAAAATGTATATTACAGAAACTTCTATACAGATTTGATTTACAACCAGTTATTTCTTGTCAATACTAAATCTATTAATTAGTTGAATCTGAAAAATCACACACGGTCCAGTCCATCTCTGATAATTCAATGTCTGTGGTTGATTGCTGAGCTACTGACAGACATCAAAGCCATTATTCTGTTCATGTTTGATTCCATTGAGCTTTTAAATGTGGAAAAGTGAAACAGCTTATGCTGGGTGAAACATTATTCACATTGTCTTTGTTTATGAATCTTTTATATCTGATGAATGAAGCACTGCAAAGCGGAACCTGCCGATTAAGTTTAATAAGCACCATGTTGGTCCTGGACTAGCCTACTGCGAATGGTCAGGAATTGGTTGAGGTTGCAACGGTATGAGATTTTCACGGTATGATGACCATGAAACCATCTCTGAAAATATAGCGGTTTCATGGTATCATAAGTTGTTTCCTTATTTATTCATTTGAAAATAAATTTCGCAGCTACACATCTCCCAATTAATGCCTCATTTGGAACATTACTACAATATTAAAAGGGTAACCGATACTACAAACTTCAAATTCGGCACAAACAAAACAGATTTTCTTACAAACATTTAAATTTCACATTATAGTAGTTTTCATACAAACTTGTCTTTATGACAATTATTCACTCACACACACATATAAATTAACAGGTTCATTATGCTCCTCTGGAGATCTCTCTGTAGCTATCAAGCTATGGATACTTTCCTGAGGTAAATGCGTTTCCTGACATGTTCAAAAGCAGTTTTATTGACGTCTTTCCGTGGTTAAAACACTGATTATGCGATTAAACGACAGCAGATACATTTTATTTAATTGTTTTAGAGCTTTTTCAAATACCTTTTGTTCTGACGTTAACATTTGCGCTGTAATAGATAATCGGTTCACGTTCACTGCGCACTTCCGCTTAAACTGAAACTACAGCGATTTGTCATACCACATTAAAGAGCGCCGTTATGGTTTTATTGTTTGAATTCCGCGATAAAATGTACCAAATTTTAAACCTATAACTTTGTTTCTTATTGTTTCTTTTGTTCTGACGTTAACATTCGCGCTGTAATAGATAATCATTTCACGTTTACTGCGCACTTCCGCTTAAACTGAAACTACAGCGATTTGTCATACCACATTAAAGAACGCCGTTACGGTTTTATTGTTTGAATTTTGCGATAAAATTGACCAAATTTTAAACCTATAACTTTGTTTTTTATCAAAAGGAAGAAAAGTATACTTAATGGATGGGAGTCGCGCTACCAATTTAGCGAAGCTTTTTTCAGCCTCAGCATCTAGGTGTGCGTCACGTGCGCAGATGAGATTCTCAGTGCGGTTACATTTTTTCAATACCATCCATTAGTTAATATAAACGGTATGGTACTTGTCAAATTTAATATAACTATATATCGTGAAACTATAGCCTATACCGCTGCAACCCTAGAATCAACAAAGATGTTTTGGCAAAGTAACGATGGCCATAAATAAGTGTGCTTTCACGCGTTCTGCAACTGAATGCAATTTATAGTCGCAGTAGATAGCAATCTTGGCTTTAAAAAAAAGGCTTGTGTCCTTTACAATGGCATCCACAAATCTGGATTTTTGCCTCAATGTAGCCCACTACATACATGAAAACGTTCAATATTTTGTCCAACTGTTGTCCAATATTTACATTCGACTTGAACAGTGCATCAGCTGTCGTAAGGTGGTGGAATAGCTCTTCGTTCCTCCATGTACTCTTCACATGTGCTCCATTTGCATGAACTTCAAATCTGTCCAGTAGGCCTAAGGGTCAAGCTGATGTCCATGTCTTTTTAACCCCTATATCCTAGATGTGTTCAAATCCAAATGGAACTTTAGGACAACTGGACAAATTCTGTAGCTCAGACCATCCAATAATGATGACGCAGCAACCGTTTTCTTACCAATTGCATCGCCACACCAGTAGAGAAGACTTTAAGAAAAAATTGCTCAGACACCGTTAGAGCTTGGTTCTTGGGTGATTTCCGTAGAAAGGCTTTCTTCAGGCGATTCTGGTTCCTCTCCCGTCACCGCCATACGGATCACTTTGAGCCAGCGCTGTTTCAGTTCCTCGCTTTCTGCGACAAAGCTGTGGACTGATTTAGACTGAGATAGTCTGAAGCTTGTGGGAGGGTCGGTGGGTCTCGGGCTGTCCTCCACCTGGTAGCCGAGCAGAGGAATTGTGGACTGGGCCTTGACGTCCTGTGAGGACAGTGTATGTTTGTTTAGTAAAGAGAAGTGATGTACAGGAACAGAAATAGCACAGTTCAGGAAGATACAAGCGCACTGACCTGAGGTGCTCCGTACAAGTAGAGAACTAAAGCTTCTTTCTGAGGAATGACACACCAGACTTTCTGCCAGGGTTTGTTCTTCTCACAGTACTGTAGGAAGCCACACATGATACTACTTCCTGAGAACTGAGCAGCTTCAATCTGTGAGGGAGAAGAGATGTTTAGCACGGCATATTTCATCACTCCTTTATGAGATCAATCAATTTAACAAAGCCTGCAAGGTTTTATGCACAATTATGTATTAAAAAAAAAATCCATATATTGGTTTTGTCATAATGTAATTTCTTTTTGTCAGTTTCTGCAATACATTTACAATTTCTGTATTCAGATAAAAAAAAAAAAAAACTTTTGCTGATAATTTACTCATCCCCATGTCATCCAAGATGTCCATGTCTTTCTTTCTTCAGTCGAAAAGAAATTAAGGTTTTTGATGAAAAAATACCAGGATTTTTCTCCATATAATAGACTTCATTGGGAACCAAACGGTTCAAGGTCCAATTGAGAGTTTCAGTGCAGCTTCAAAGGGCTTTAAACGTCACCAGAAGACGAATAAGGGTCTTATCTAGCGAAACGATTGGTCATTTAAAAAATAAATACATAAGTTTAAGTTTTATAAGCAAAAATGCTCGCCTTGCTCTGTTCTGTGATGTTCTTGTTCAAACTGGTTCATCAAAACAAACAAATCTTTTTTGGTTCATTCAACGAACAAAATTAACGAAATGACTCGAAAAAAGATTCGTTCATTTTGATGAATGAGTTCGAACAGGAGAGTCACGAACATGCATCACAGAACGGAGCAAGGCGAGCATTTGTGCCTATAAAACTTACATTTTTGTATTTATTTTTGAAATGACCAATCGTTTCGCTAGATAAGACGCTTATTCACCGTCTGGTGTCGTTTAAAGCCTTTTGAAGCTGCACTGAAACGGTTATTTGGACCTTTAACTGTTTGGTTCCCAATGAAGTCCATTATATGGAGAAAAATCCTGGAACGTTTTCATCAAAAACCTTAATTTCTTTTCGACTGAAGAAAGAAAGACATGGACATCTTGAATGACATGGGGGAGAGTAAATTATCACTACTCCTTTAAAGGGACTCGTATTCACCTCAACTTCAAAATAAAAACGTAATGTATATAATTAATATATACATATATATTCAGCGTCCATGTGACCCTACAAAGAATGAACAGTATGAAAAATTGTTCATGACATCTGGATGCATAACTAAAGGTTATTTTACTTAACAAAGTAAATGCAAAATACAATTTATTACTTTTATTGTGATCTTGAGGTGAAATAATCATGTTCTTTTAGAGATTCACAGAAAGCAAGCAAAACAAAAATAAAGCCAAAGAAAATGTAAGTTTCAGTTTTACAGCAAAGTGATAATTTAGAAAAGGGAACAAGCAAAACCACCACTTCACAATTGTGTTTTACAAAATTATTAACTTAATCAGCTTTGCTCCCTGTTCTTAAGCGTCACCAAACCAGAACGTTAAAACATCCCTTATACCAGTGGCAACACTTTATAATAAGTCGAATAATAATACTAACATTACTGGATTACATGATGCTAAACAGATCATTAGTTTGTGTAAATTAGTTAGAAATGAAAATTAGACTTATACATTCACGAGTATATATGAAGATATACATCAGCTGCTGATCTGTTAAGCATTACTGAATGTTAATGATGGATTACTGCTGCAGGTTATTATAAAGTGTCACCAACCGATCTTACCGCTGCCGAATCCACCACGACAGTTCGAGCACGTCGTATTTTCTTCCGTAACTGTATATATAAAGGTTATATGAAGGTATTGATACATTATAGAATGCAGCTCTGACCCCAGGTCACCGTATGCGGTTCATGTGATTCTGAACTCACCTCTAGAATTCCCTTCTTCTTGCCCTCCCTCTCCTCACTCTCTATATGGCCTGAGAGGATGGAGAAACAGTCTTTGCACACCTTGTTCATTTTATTCCCATCATATTCCAGAGGGGATTTGTAGTCTGAGCACTTCGAGCAGACCACCTGAATGAAATGGACATTTCAGCACATGTAATACACTTCAAAACTGTAAAAACACGAAATGTTTTTAGTTTGCTGCCGCTTACGTATCCACAGGCCCGACAGTGATGTCTCCTGCGTGTGAGAGCATAAAAGGCCTCTTTGCACTTCATGCACATGGTCACCTCGTTGTCTCGGATCCAGCGAGGGGCTCTTTTACCCAGCTCCGATATCTTAAGTTCCTACAAAGAAATATACACAAGAAATGCATAAACAATCTAAGCACATTTAAGGCGTGCCTGAATCCACTTTTGCTAGTTTACCGACGGTAAAAAATGGTCGGAGCGCGCGGCGCATGATCTAAAAGTGTTGTCCCATTTCTCTTATTGAGTAATGGGTGCGTTTTGGGCATAACGTGCAATAAACAAATCAGAGTCTCATCTCCCATTCCCTTTAAAAACCATTGCTGAATTTGCAAACAGAAAGACTGAACACTTCTCCTGAGAGAAAGCGGATCTGCTTGTGTGTGAGGTTAAAGCGTGCGAGCAGACCATCTACGGGACAAGCCGGAATCCACCTTATCTTTATGTACACTATAATAATCTTTCACATTGTGATCCTTTTATGTTTAATATTTGGCATGTTTGTGTGCTGCTGTGTGTCCTTGTGTGTGTAATAAGCAGAGTGTACGTGCGTTGTGGACCCGCCTATAGGCACATTTTACTAATTCACCCTTTAAATAAAATAAATACAGCCCTATTGACTTTAGACCAGGTTTCAGTTGGTCAATGGCGCAGTCTATTTCAGCTGCCTCAAAATAGCAACGCGCCAACAATGTCCCTGGACATGCCACGTTTTCAGACCAGCACGCCCATGGGCGAGTAGATGGGCGCAAATGCATTTGCTATTTAAACATCGTGGCACAGGATGTGAAAATTATAACTGCGTCGGGCTGAAACTAGCAAAAAAAAGGGTGTATGATAGGGCCCTTACATAAAGGAGTAGTTCACTCTTAAAAAAAAAAAATTTTGCTGATAATTTACTTAACCCCATGTCATCCAAGATGTCCATGTCTTTCTTTCTTCAGTCAAAAAGAAATTAAGGTTTATGATGACCTTTTGATGAAAACATTCCAGGATTTTTTCTCCATATAATGCCCTTTACTAAGGTCCAAAAGAAAGTTTCAGTGCAAAGGGCTTTAAACGATTCCAGACGATGAAGAAGGGTCTTATCAAGCGAAACGACCGCTCATTTAAAAAAAAAAAAAGTTTACGTTTTTATAAGCTCAAATGCTCGCCTTCCTCTGTTCTGTGATGAGCGTTTGTGACTCTCCTGTGAACAAATCTTTTTCCGAGTCAATTTGTTCATTTCGTTTGTTGAATTAACCAAATGACTCGAAAAAAGATTTGTTCATTTTGATGAACGAGTTCGAACAGGAGAGTCACGGACGCACCATTTGAGCTTATAGAACTTAAACTTTGTTATTTATTTTTTTAAATGAGCGATCGCTTGATAAGACCCTTATTCATCGTCTGGAATCGTTTAAAGCCCTTTGAACAGTTTGCAGTCACTCTGCACTGAAACTGTCTTTTGGACCTTGAACCGTTTGGTTACCAGTAAAGTTCATTATATGGAGAAAAATCCTGGAATGTTTTCATCAAAAACCTTAATTTCTTTTCGACTGAAGAAAGAATGACATGGATCTCTTGGATGACATGGGGGTGAGTAAATTATCAGCAAAAGTTTTTTTTTTTAAAGTGAACTACTCCTTTAAGTAAAAAAACAACACAGAAAATGACCCTTTGCCCTGAACATTAAGATTGAAACATCTAACATCTAATAAAATAAGCATTATCGTTTCATATAGCACTCAAATCTAAAGTGGAGACAAAAAGGCGCAATTAAAATAATTTAAACGATTAATTTAAATAGTTGAACAGATTTTAAAATTGGCGTCAAATGAAAATTCAGCCTATATTATTTGTTATAGATCTTATTGTGATCAATGCTTCTGGTGAAAACGACTTTTTTGCAGGACTCCAATAATTTAATGTTCATCTGCCTCCAATTCTGTTTCATTAAGACTTTAGTTGTTAATTTAATTACTAATTAAAATAATTAAATCATTTTAAATCAATTCTTATTTTAATTACAAATATTCAGTTATTTAAATTATTTTTCAAATGTGTAATTTAATCATTATTTTAAATAATATCAATATTTAAAAAGTCAATACATGGCAAAACCCTTTCTGCTATGTAAATGTAGCCTTATATTACAATTCCCTTACAATAACAGAGCATTCAGTATCTTGTGTTATGTAGTCCAGCTGAATTATAAACTTCTGAGAATAAATACTGACCGATGATTCCTCCACATCTTTGCATGCTGACTTAAAGGTCTCATTTTTCTGGAGGGAGATGTTTATCGTTTCCTGGAAAGCCTAAATCACAGAGGAAGTCAATTTTAAAAATGGACTTCTAATGAAAATTCATCAAGTATAAAAAAAGTGAATATAAAATTCGTACCTTTATCCAGCTTTTTTTATCCTGTTCAGAGCTGTAATGAGGCAATCAACCATTAAAAACAAAAGAATATTCTGTATGCATTATAAATGCCAGCCCTTATAGAACGGTGGCAAGCACAGATGGTACGCTCCGTACCTGGCCTGCAGCTCCAGTGTCCGTTCCTTTCCGGAAACCTGAAAGGTGTGTGGATAATCCTCATTGAACGTCTCCATCACCTTCATACCTTCAATGCCAATCCGTGTGCGCACTGTAAACTTCTGTCCCACCAAGCTGAACTTGGGAACACAGTACAGAAGCATGTTGTTGAACTGTAGGAAAGAGTAAGTAGATATTTAAGAAAATGAATTGCCAAATGCTCATTTAAACTGTTTTATTTAAAGCTAGATATTTATAGTAACTCATCAATGACTGAAATAGCATGGAAAATAATTAGTTGTCCTCACCAGGAAGAGATATCTGTCCATGGCTGAGGTATTTCTGGCCGCCAGTTTTAGAATATGACCCTCCTTTATTAACTCATTCGAGGGGTTCACAATGTCCTCTTCTTCTCCCAACATCTCATAAATTTCTAACAATTTCTTAAGGTTTTCCTAAGAGATAAAGAGAAAGACCAAAAACAGAAACATTAATGAAAAATAAATAAAATAAAAAATCTTAAGTGGTCTTGCCTTTCAATTTCAAGAAAAAAGCACATTTTTATTTTTACATGAGCATTGGCTGCACTCATTTTAAAAATACATCTTTTTAGTCTGATTTGAAGTGTCAAAACATTTATTATAATTTATATACATAAATATAAATATATATATATGGAGGTGTTATTGAAAATAACTGTATAGACTAGAAAAATTCTATATAAAACTATAGTGGATGTAACATCAAAATTGAATGTCTAATGTAAAAATGCATGTTTTAATGTAACCTTCTCCCTTTAAATACTTTGGTTAGTTAAGAATAATTTATGCAATTTTATATTATTTATATAAAGAATTAAAAGAGCAGTTTTATGTCTATCCTGGTCAACTGGTCAATGATATGGGGTTTCAAGAAAGTAATTAGTAACAAGTAAAGACATGCTTTTTAATTTTTAAAGAGAGTAATTAGTGAACACAATTTCTGAACCGATTATAGTAACATAATTACTAGTTTGGTCTTAGTCTAATTAGTCCAGATCGAAGCAAAAAATGTTGTGGGTGGGATTCGGGCTGGCATCCGGGCTAGTCTAAGACAGTTCTGAGAGGTAATTAAACCCTTTTGGCTAAGGCATTTCACAATTTAATTTTCATCATAGTTTATGCACAAATTTTATTGGATTATTGGATCAAAAAAATGTATCCACCTCAATTGAGCGCATCTTTTGAATTAATGTGCATCATGGCGTTTTAAATGCAATATCCCAAACTGCACATAGAAATGGGTGGATGTAAGCATAGCTAATGAGACATAGGGCCTAATCTAGAGATTCAGTTGTACAGCAGAGGAAAAAACACTCACTGTTTTCTTAATGGCAGTGTTGGAATGTGTGGCAGCCATGGAAATAATCTCTAAAGACTCTGCAAAGACAAAGATTTCACATTTAAGAAAGGTCACGTTTAACGACTGTCTTAGGAACCTGCTCACTCCTGAACTCACTTTCAGCATCCCGCCGGTCTATGTGATCCTGTGGAAGTTTCTTCAGATAGTCTTTGAGCAGCATCTCGTATCGTGGCACTCTCTGAACAGGCTCCAACATGTGATTCTGCAGCGTCAGACTGCCACACACTTCTTGACTCTAAACACACAAACATGCACACATGAATCACTAAAGGCGGCAAAAAGGTACAGATATATCGAGATATAGGGCTACGTTTCTCAAAAGTATCGTAAGCATAAGTAGATCGTACAGAACCAATGGCACCAATGGTCTCTACGATCAACTTAGCTCACAATGCTTTTGAGAAACGCAGCCCAATTAAACTAGCCACAATTTAGGGGCTTTCACACTGGGTAGTTATAGGACCACTAGTGTGGTTTTCCTAGGGCCATTTTCTTGGTCGCAATCACACCGCCAGTAGGAACTCTAATGTAAGATGGCCGTCAGTGACGTCATGTAAGCGTCAGCATTAAACAACTTCAACAACTCCAAAGCGTATAAAGGTTGAGAAGTGGCTGGACTTTGGCGTCAGTCCATCTATCGCTGTTTTCAATGTTCGTGGTGTCAGTTCATGGAGTAAGTAAATGTAAACTGGAACCCGTCTTTTTTAAAAAGCCGTTTAAAAACACAGTGGCTAATCAACCTACACTTATGTCACTGGTAGTTCCCATTGTGCTGGGTTAGAACCCTATTCTGAAGTAGGAGCTAATTCCTATAACTAAAATCGTTCCCAGTTCCTGTGGTGCGAAAAAGCGGGTACTTCCACCAATAGTTAAAGGAACTATGAAAACATTCCTCTGCTGTAAAAGCCCCTTTGTCTATATTTTTTTTATTATTGGTGCTAGTTCTCTTTTATATCAGATATCAAATTTACCAACATCCTCCGGGTTTTAAAATAATTTAGGTTTTTCTTTTTTACTATACGTATTTTGTACAACAAATTTACTTAATTTCGACATTTAATTACACTGAAAAACACCGCATTTCTCATTTAATATTACATTGTATAATATGATTTAATTCTATAGGCATTTCAGTAGTCATCCAGCTCTCTGGTTATTAAAAAAAACCCTCTTTTAAAAAAAACAACAACATTTTAATACATGCATCAGTGATTATCACCTGGATCTCCAGAATGATAGCTTTAAATGGAGGCGATCTCTCTGTCCATTGCTTCACCAGATCCATGGCATGATCAAAGTTCCTCACATACTCCGCATACATCTTCAGGAAGGGAGTGAGCTTCTGTAGGATGTCCCCAATGCGAGGTGTTGACGTCCTGGTAGAAAAATCTCAGAGCATTAAGAACATATTTCTTCCAATTAAACCAAAACCAATGCCCACAAAGTGTGAATGTCTTACCATTGTCCCATGCGTTTTTCCAAGTCAGGCAGAAGGAACTGGCTGTGGAAGGCATTAATGGAAGAGATGTTGGAAAAGATTTTCATCACCACATCCACAGGGAATGTGTCTTTTCGTGCCTCTTCTATCAGCTTGGCATAAAACACCTGCACAGCAGGGCCAGAGTTAGATGATGTATGATCTGTGTTACTACTATCTTTAAAATGTTCAGATTGCCATTTTGGAAAACAATGCTCCCGGTTTCTCACTTACAAAGTTCAGTCTACCCAAAAAATATATATGCATTGCATGCCCTCATGAAAGAAACTAAATAAGCACTTACCTTATCTAATAAGTTAAGCCGTGTAACATAGGCCTTCTCTGTTTGCAGAAGTTCATTCGCTATCTTGTAGAGCTTCTGCTCATTGGTTTCCTAAACAAAAGTAGTTTTGATATATTAACTTGAATATTGTATCAGATGCAAATGAAAATCAGTTTTCATCTCTTTATATCTTTCTTTGATGCATGCAAATGTTGGTGTTAAAGATATTTGAATGTGAATGTCTCAAACATAATCAAATTTGTTTGATTATGTTTGTCAAAAATCCCTCCAAACCAAAAATAAATAAATAAATAAAGAAAATAGCAGTTATATTGGGCATAAAATCTAATTATAAATATCAAGATGTTTTTCCCCAATTCTCATTACTGTAAAGTGTACAGATACTTTACTTTTGAGTTTGTTATACTTATTATTAATGGTGATTCTCATAACTGTAATACTCATATAATTTTTTTAATAAAAAAATATTGACATAATAGCAGTACAACAAATACTAATATTATTTATATACGGATGAAAATAATACCAAAATTTAGTCTTTTAGCAACAAATGTTTTTTTTGTTGTTGTTTTTTTTTAGATTTGGGGTTGGAACATGACCTTTATTCACTATCGAAAGTTTTTTTTCCTGTCACATTTTACACACGTTTGATTTCAAACTTTTCCAACTCTTCTTGAAGCACTATAAATTATTCAGATTGTCTAAAGTTCTGAGCTTTGAGCTCATTTTAACTTAAATTATACAAGAGATTTTGGTAGGATGTTGCTGAGAGGGAACTAACACTGCAGAAATCGTTTGTCACGACCAAGCTCAGCACAGCAGCTCACATGGCTGAAGGGAAACAGAACTCTGGCTTTGCCCTTGACCCTTATGTTCAATTCAGAAGTTGACCCCCACTCCACCTACATTCCTCACCTCACCGTAACATTTCTTCCCCTCTTCCTCGCTATCACACCCATACACGAATGAACATGCACTGGCATACACACGCTGTGCACACTGAGGTCTGTTAAAGAAACTTCCTGATGCACATTGACCACAAACAGTTCTAGTATCTGCCTGTCAGCACTCTGAAGACACATAGCCTATCTTTTCTTATCAGAATCTATAACCTCAGCTCACATAAATAACCTTTGAACTGTTTCAGACACCCTGCACCACTTAGCCGATAAAAGAAACCAACTAACTTCCAATAAAACCAGCTTTTGCCACAATTGACTGCAATTCAAAAGAAGTGTATTGTTGAAACGTACCTCAGAGGACAGGAAATGAAAGGATGGATAAGAGGAAACAAGTAAACCCAATGAAAGAGGTTCTGGCATGAAGATGGAAGGTATGTGTTCTTGAAGCTTAACAGATGTTCAGAATCACAGAAAAACTGGTTTTACATTTTATAAAATCTATTTTATTGATAAAATGCATAAAACAATAAAACATTCTAATTATTATTATTATTTTTTTAAAAATGACTATTAAAATAATTGAACCTACAATTTGGATTTTACAGTGACCAAAAATATTATTAATAATAAAACAAATATATATAACTAATATTAAAATATTTAAAAAATGTTATTAATAATAAAACAAATATATATATAACTAATATTAAAATATTTAAAACAATTAAATAACACAAATAGAAGTAAGGAAATTATTTAGTGACCTAAAATTTTTTGTTATATTTGAGTTTATTCCTTAATCTAGATTCAAGTGCTAGAAATTCTCTTCACCCAACTTCATGAAGTTCCAATGGCATTTAAAAAGCATCGCAGCATGCAAAGTTTCACATGTATGCTGGACAATTGTTTTACACACTATCCAGTCCAAATATTTAACTTAGTCATGAAGTAGTAGTCAATAAATTAAGCATTTAAGCATAAACTTTTACATTTTTAAGACCATAAGAAACATTTTATCCAAATGTGTCTTGTGTGTTCAGAGTTCTTCCCTATATTATTAGAGGAAGGACCGGCGTTTTCAAGAAGTTTTCTGTGCGCAAACATCCGAAGAAAAAAAAAAACCTGAAAGCATTAATCCATCTGCAATGTTTTCTTTAGAGGAAATGTAGGCCTGGGGCCTCATGCATAAAACTTTGCGTAGATTTCATCCTTAAAGTGTGCGTACGCACATAAGGCAGAATTTGCGTACGCACAAAAGTTTTCAGATTTATAAAACCGTTCGTACGCCAGAACCTGCGCAGAATTCACTTTATAAATCCCAGTCAGCGGGAGATTATGCGCACGTGCGTCTCCTCCCCGAAATAACCATATATGGAGATTACAACGCCTAGTTTTACTATGCATATCCTCATCTGCATATCATTTGCATATGATTATTCATCCACGTGATACCAAGTTTAACGGTACAAGACGTTAGGAAAATATGAAATGCGGATGTGCCGTCACATTATTACAAACATTTTTTTTTTGTAGCCTATATCCTTGCCTTGTTTTTGAATGAATAAATCAAATAGTGTTAAATACATTTCAGAGAAAGTTTTTCTCAATCTTTTCCACTGGCCAAATAGTATTTTTAATTGATTTATATTTTAATGGATAATGGAAGAGATTTTAATGGAAGAGATAGACATGGTTGTGCATTATTTGCACGAAACAGTTTTCTCAGACAATCTGTAGTTAAAACATTAAAACACAGCATGCCAGAAGAAAAGTGTTCAAAAGCAATGTATCCACAACAAATAGGTCTATTTCTATTTATTGAATATATATATATATATATATATATATTGTAACTTCTCAGTAGGCTAATGATTTCATGTAGTTTAAGAGTTTAACTCCATTAATGAGAATGGCATATTTAATCTAAATGTTTATATCAGAAGTAAAACATAGTACCATTCTTTTATTTATTTAAACTATTATTGTGAATATGGACTGTATTTATGATTTGGACTCATAATGAAGATTTACGGTTTTACTCCATCTGCCGTTAGATTATAGGCTATATGTGCGTCAGTTTCACTAAACGGAACGCGCGTGCTGGCGCGGTCATTTAAGAAGGGATGGATGTTTGCTTCAAGTGATAGGTTTGTGAAATTATATTTGTATTATCTTTCTGTAGATGTATAATTTTCTTTAGATTCTCTGTCTAATAGTGAGCAAAAAGACATTTGACTCCAGCTCACCATCGGTGTCGCCAAAACCCATAATCTTCTAAAAGAGTGCGTACGCACGGTCAAGAGCATCCTTACGGTGCGCACTTATTTACGCCAAGTTTATTTTTTATAAATCCCGATGTGCACGTGGAAAAATGCGTACGCATATTTCTATGCCCATTTTGTGCGTACGCAACGTTTATACATGAGGCCCCAGGTCTGTAAAACTAAAGGTCAAAAAGAAAAAAACAAACAAAAAAACAAGCCTCATGTAAACGTCAGCATGTAAAATTAGTGGATGAGACAGCACATTGCACATAGCCAGGCCTGAGGTGTCAAATAACAGTGTGACAGAGTCAATACCGACTCCATAACCACACTCACACACACTGACAACATCTGAGATGATCTTTGCATTATTATGACAAAGTATACTTCACCATTCCTCCCAGATTACAAAAATCTCTTACCTTCTGCTCAGGGATGCTGTCCATCACCACGTCCCGCTGCTCAGGAGCTTTCCTCTCCGGCTCTTCGGCCTGGTCTGGAGCATGAGGCAGATCTACAGAGTCCTCGTAAATTATTGCCCTCTTATCCATAGTGGCAGCATCACCATTCAGCAGTCCCTGCGATTCTATCCTCACGACCGGAACTGTGTCGTGTGTAACTCCATCCATGTCCCCCTCTCTGTCCCGGTCTCTGTTCATTTGTGTTAGAACCCCATTGGGGGGTTTGAGAGCATGACGTGGGCTGTTTGCACCGGAGTCTGTGGGCTGCTCCGTCGGTCTCTGGTAGTTCTTATGAGGCGGACTGGTGTTAGGAGATCTGCTGACCTGCTTCAGAGCGCCCTCCCTCCGACTGTCTGCCTGACTGTGTGTGTGTGAGAGAGAAAGACAGACAGAGTAAAGAAAGGTCACCTTCTTTAGAGTCAGATAACTCGTCTGTACTCAACAACAAACTTTTACGACAAACAGTGTTGGAGAAATAGAAAGATGCAGAGAAGAGAAAAATGTGTTGTGCATGCGTGTGTGATTTTAAATTAAGTGTTGAACAAACTTCTGGCTCTGTCTGCATGTGTGTGTTGCAGGGGACGTTGTATGAACGTGCGGGTCATGGGAGGAGTGGAGGAAAAGAGGATAGGAGGAGGAACAGGGAGGAGGAGGAGAGGTATAGAACTCGGCTGCAGACCGTCCCATGAGACGCGGCTGCCCTACTTCAGAATACATGCCAACATGCAAGCGCACGCATGCACGCAGCACACACACTAGACACACACTGAACAAAATGCTTTCAGGAACAGTGGAAACAAACTATAAAATATGTAAGAGATCATATACGGTGGATCCAGAGAGACTAGTCATGCTTTTATCACCCTGATGGGATTTATTCTGTGGTAATGACCAGCTGACTTTCTATGATTCCACATGGCTACTAAATAAATAAATAAAATGGACATGAACTATTGATTCAAGCTGAAATGATTTTACTATGTGATAAGAAACATGAGAAGATCTGCTCCATCAAATTGAGTCACTTTGACTAGAGAAATGTCTCATGCACTTGATGAAAAGGAAAAGTCTCAGCTTTCTATTCATTCAATTATTTAGTTTTGACTGATTGACGCTTCAAAATATGAGATATTCAAATATTTTAATACACAACACATTATACAATATTATATAATATATTATAATCAAGACAATTGGTATACACCACATTAAAAAGTGTCAACTTTTAGCAGTAAAGAAATAATTACCATATAGACAGCTGAGACTTTGTTTCTTCAAAAACAACAACAACATCTAAGCATCGCATCTCCACAAATGCCTCATTGCAAGTTCCAACTCGAAATGATCATGTCACGTATAGCAATAGAAGTTACGATTATTATCAAGTATTCCAGAGAGCGGCATAATACAAATTCTTTACTTGATTGATGAATAATAAATAATACGGATGCACGATACAGAAATTGTGACAATCTATGTATTATTAGTACATATTTTTGTTATGGACAATAACTGATATTAGAGCCAGACCGATATATCGGCAGGCCGATATTTATTGGCCGATATTAGGCATTTTCCAAACCATCAGTATCGGCAGTTATAATGGCCGAAAAATTAATATTTCAAAAATAAAATAAAAACGGACGAAACACGCTTGAACCATGTCATGAGTGTTGGAGTTGTATAGTTTGTCCACCAGAGGGCACTCTACACTGTCCCTGTTGGCAACACTCGTTGAGTTGGTCACGAGACATACATTGCTTGAATAACAATTAAAAGAACATCCCCATCAGTTCTCTTAACTCATATAAGCATGACGAAATTTGTGACTAGTATGTCCAGTTTTGCTGCTGTTAAATAAGCTGAGAGTGAAGCGGAATTAGCTAGTAATAGTTACGTTACGTTGTTATAGTGTAGTTGACTGACTGTCCTTTTAACTTTTGACAATGTGACTGAAGTATTTCTTTAATAGCGCGTGACAGTTATAGCAATGAGAAGTATCATCTCTCCTTGGCCTGTTATATTGAAAATGTATGTTTTACAATTTGCAGTATGACTAAATCCATCGATAAATTATGGCTCATCATAGACTAGCTAACCACAAAGCTACTGTACCTAATGCCACTATTATCAGTCTGTTCTGTTGTGACAATAAAAGAAACAAGTTTCTTTTTAAAATGCATTATCATATTATTTTAGTTAAAACTCATAAATAACTACAAATAACTAATGTTAGGGAAATCTGTTAATGTTTTGTTGCACGTTTCAGAAATAATAATAATAAAAAAATATCGTCCGATTTATCGGAATATCGGATTTTAAAACCAAGAAATATTTGTATCGGCCTCCAAAATCCTTTATCGGTTGGGCTCTAACTGATATCATTTGCTTCTAATAACATTCTAAATCAGACCAATACTGATATGAAGATGTGATCATTTTGGATGACATGGTCACTGTTATATTGTGCATCCCTAATAATAATCGGAAAAATCCACATAATAAACCGTAAAAATGTGATGCATTCATAACTTCATGTAAGCAGGCATAAACCGAACAAAATGAAGCCACAACATAAGGCTTTGTAGTACATGCACACACACAAGTACACACACACACACACACACACACACAGATATCCTGCACCTCCAGCTGTTTCCCTGTCTATGGCCCACCTGCTCTCTAGATCAGATAGCGTTTCCTGTGAGATAGAGAACAGAGATGTGGATCTGAGTGTACGGGGCACCACAGTTAACACTCCAGATTACAGACGGCTATTAATAATCTTTGAGCTCTGGACCGCTGAGACTGATTAATATATGCCATCTAACATATTATTCAGTGTTTCACTCAAAACATTTCAGAACTGTGGATAGCTAACAAAATCTAAGCCTTATTAATCTGGTATGATAAAATGTAGTTACATCTTAGGCAACATTTTTGCTATCACAAGAAGGGTAGTATGGATTTCATTGTTTTTTCCCCATGAGGTTGTAAACCAACTCCCTGCAGTTGTCTGGGGTCATGGCTCTTTGTTTAGCATTGATAAGTATGTGTTGGACCAGGCCAAACAGCTGAAGAAATTTCAGACCCCGGTTTACTCCATCAACCCATGCTCTCTCACTTTGCTTAGGATGAATTCCTGCACATATTCTGAGCCACACACAAAACAATGCACTGGGAAGGCAGGCAAAACAGGATAAAGGGCTTGCAGGGAATTATTTATGCGGAACTGGGGTTAATGGTCAGTCCATTTTGTTACGGTGGCCATATGGTTTCATATGAGCCAACTCAGTGACCTGACACCAATGCTGAGCTACATACTTATACTGTAGAGAATATTAAAGCAGTCAAGCAGACGCATTACACTGAATTTATCATGGCTAAGGGCCATTAGTGCTTAAACCCATATAACAATGGTAAAAACAGTAATACACTGCTTCAGCAGGCTTATACATTTCCTAAAACAGCAGTGAAAGCAATATGATAGAAGACACCAATGTTTATTAAATAATTAAATGTACTAATAATAAATCACAAAAAAACAATTCTTCTGCCAAGAACACAGTTAAATAAATGAGCCTAAATGTAGGCTGTTAATGCAAAGTACAAATCAATGATCACTCTATGAATACAGTGCAACTTGAACTTGGTATTAATATAAAATTCAACTTGGTACTACAGAATTCAAATCAAATGCGTCTGTAAATATATAATAAAAAAACGTCCTAGCTAAATATATTTGGTACAATGTGATCACGAGTGTCCTTGAAAATTAGATTTTCACAGTTGTTTTGCTATAGAAAATGTACCCTAGTCCCTAATGTTTTCCCTAGTCCCTAATGTTCGAAACTGTTATGCTTTTAAAACATATGACGCAACATAACTACTTCAAGGATGTGAGGTTATACGTTTAGACTTGAATTAGTGTTCAACATATGTTTAAATAATTCAATTATTTAAAAATTCATGTTTGAGGTTTAACAGTGAAAATACTGTTCAGACTTCAGAGGTGTAAAGAGTTCTTGAAAAAACATATTTGAGCAGAAGTACAGATACTTTACAGTGAAAATGATTCCACTACAAGTAACAAGTCACCAATTCCAATAAGATTAAAAGTAAAAGTCGCAAGCCTTGTTAGAGCTGTCTTAAAAGAGAACTCCGGTGCAAAATGAACCTTTGGTCTACCTAGTCAACCGTTATCTGAGATTTGTTTTCATGATTGCCGAATGTAAATAGTTTTATCTATAAAAACAGTTTAGCCTATAACGCTAGTTTATAGGGCATAGAGTAATGACAAAAAAAAAATCGCTTATTATTACCACTAACAAGGCTCAAAATAGCCCCACAGTAACACGGTAGCATAATAAGGGTCCCTACATTCAAACCGAAGCATTGAGAACTTTGTCAGTGTCCATACAGTTAATAAGAAGATATTTTATACACACAGTCAACTTCGCGAATAGAGGAAGAAGCCATCTTTGAAAAATAGTCTCTACCAGTCGATCTACGAACGCCGATCCAAGTGCGCTGAACTGTGCAGAATCTCATATGGTCCTTTGTTTCCAGAAGAAACACAAACACGAACCATTTTCTTCTCTTCAATATGTACATGTAGACTACTGTTCGCGCTCACCTTATCACCTTATTCACATCTCACCAGCGCACTTGGATCGGCGTTCGTAGATCGACTGGTACAGACTATTTTTCAGATAACTGTTTTTTTTTTTTTTTAAAAAAGCCTCGGGTTTCGTTTTTATTTTTATTTTTGTGGTTTGATGCGCCTCATCAAAAACTGTGCGACCAATGAGATTGGAGCTTTTGCTCACGTGTGTGGTACTTCTGAAGTTACAGTAAAACTGGTCAAACATAACTTGGGGGCGCTCAAACACAAAACGGTCTTGCCGAGCACACATACGGCGAAGAAATCGCCACCGTCTACAATCAATGCAGAAAGACGAGGAGGCCATCTAATGTCAGGGAATGAATTTGCATGTTCACTCGGCTCATCGTCAGCGAAAATTGCTTGGGAAAATTGCTGATATTCGTCCTGGTGTGTACGGGAGTATCTGATTTTAACGGTACTTAAGGATTTTACTACTAAATATGGGCTCATTAAACATTCACTAGTCCTCAACAACAGACATGCTATACACAACTATTAATGTTGTAGAATAACATGTAGAAGTCTTTTCAGCCACAGACCTTAAACTCTTAAAAACCAATTAGAGATTCCAGAGGGAGCCCATGGTGAATTAGCCTTCCAGGCTGGCCTACAAATAACTGAACAGCTCTATTGGCACTTGGCAGCAAAACATAATTTAGAGTTAGACATGAGCCATTAAAAAGCATAAATCTTTGTACACTGAAGTACGTAATTAAGCACTTTCAATGTAGTTGTACCCGAAAAAAAGATGGCTAGACATAAATTGATTAATTAATCTTACCTCTTGTGTTGAAGCCATCAAACACAAAAGAAAATGTCACTGAATTGTGCACTGGACGTTAAAGTTACAACTAGCTTCTGCTTTTTGATCTTCTCGTGTAAGGTCAAAGAAGATTTGTGTGTTAATAAGACAGTTGGTGAGACATTTGTTCTTTCAGAAAAAAATAAAAATAAATCTTACGGACCCAAACTTTTGAATGGTAGTGTACTCATGACTTCAAATACTACCTCAAAACTAAACTAAGGACAGAATCTAGAAACATATGTCAAACAATGATCATCAGCCAGATGTATTTATCCAAAGCGACTTACAAAGCTTTCAAGGTAAACTTCTGCAAAACCAAACATCAATGAACTTGTCAGTATCTATCTACATATACCTGAAAAGAGAAAAGAGAAGTAGAAATTGATCCCATGTTTACCTGTTCACCTCAAAGCGACTGATGAGGTTGGACACTCGGCCCTTCCCTCCTACTGCTTCTACTCCTCCCCCCTCCATGCTGGGTATGATGAGTAACGTTCCAGCAGCCAGAGGAAAGGAGACTTCTGTCACCGGACTCTGAAGGTGTGCTGGCTTAGGAGGCACTGCAGAAAAATCACAAAGAGGACAGATTATATTCACATGCTAGCAAACAGCATTAGTGGAAGGCGGAAACAGATTGAGTGGCAGGCATTAGATCCTTTTCCTATTTAGTTCCCGAACTCTGGAATAGTCTTTTTAGCCTTGTTCGAGAGAACAAAACAAATTAACATTTGAACTCCCCCTTGTGCTACATTTCTCCCCCTCATCCTACATGGGAAGATCACCCAAACTCACACAAGAATCAAAATGCTTTAATGTGAATTATTATTATTAGCTTCCGTTTTTAATTACGGTTTTATTTTTTATAGTGTAGCTTAATGCAAATCCCCGCTGTTAGCAAATGGTCCCATGCAAATCAGCTTCTACCCCCAGTAAGTCTGGGACAGTGTTTAAGGTAAATTTCCACCTTGAACTCATGTTTACATATGAAATGAGGTCTGTCTATATAATGAAATGCAACTAGAGATCCCCTGTGAAGCCCTCGTCGACCTGACAGCCATCGGTACAGATCCTCAGCAGAGATCACAAGAACCAAAAAAGGTCCTCCGCATAGACCATATGACTAGCTTCGGCTCTATACCGGCATGATGAATCGATGTTCAAGCATAAGAACTGAATTAATATTTGAATGCTACAGATCCTGATCTGAATTCTGACTTGTGTTGCAGCCTGAATCATAATGACACGGTGCTCATTCATTGGCCAGAGGAGAACTGGCCTGGTTTCTCCCAAGGTTTGTTTTCTCCAATCTGTCACTTGATGGGAGTTTGGGTTCCTTACCACTGTTGCCTCTGGCTTGCTTAGTTGGGGACACTTAATAGTCAACAATAATATTGATCTGACTGTACTGACACTGTTGTATGAGAACTGAACTGAGCTGGAAGATGACATCATTTTTGGCAGACCTGCTTTAGATTAAATGAATTAATTTAATATTTGATGACCATTTCCTTGCTATCACTATTAAGCTGCTTTGAAAAAAAATCTATATTGTATAAAGCAGTTTCCACAATCTCCATGCCATGTCACTAGAGTGGCATAAAAGCAGCATGAGCTTACAGGGATAAGCATCCAGGATCACATGATGTTAAATGTCTTGCCCAAGGGCAAACCAGCCCTGAGCTTTTACTACACCTCAAACTGCATCCAAAATTGCAAGGAAACATAAAACAAATTGCCCACATGGAAATACTATGAAACATTTTCTCATATTGAACACCTCAGTGAAGATGTTTATGGAAGCACTTGGTTTAGTGTTATTAAACTGGAAGCTGTAATCACCACAAGGTGGCAGTGCAGCTTTAGTGTGTTGCGATGGAACCTGAGGATTCTCAGCAAGGTGAGATGAAGTGCATTTTGAAGCCGAGAAGTCTGTCCCTAGTACCTGCAGTGAGCGAATCACAGCTAATCTCAGTCAATCTTATGGGGTGGATACTGCAGAGCTCAAGGCTCCATCCAGAAATAAATAGTGGGTACCCACTCATTTCACACATCTCTAATTAAGTGAATGTGGTCTTCAGGGTTTGTGTCAGAGGACTTTTTGCCTTTAATTTTACATGGGAATATAGAGGAACGATCCAATTTCTGACCTATGAAGGGGGAATTCTGTTCCAGTCAAATGTCGATCTTTGAAACATATTGAACCCAACACTTGTATATGCAGTCAATGTTCTGAACACTTTTAAAGGGATAGTTCACTTTGGAATTAATTTTTGATATGTTTTAGCTTACCTCAAGGGCATCCAAGATGTAGGTGTCTTTGTTTCCACAGTATTTTCAATTTTGATATTTTTCGGTCAAACCGTTGTTGTCTATCAGTCATATAATGCAGGTTTAGGGGGTCCAACCTCAGTTCACCTCTTGAGAGCATGCACAGAGAAGTCAAAATTAAACATGATTTAATGACTTGTGAATGTAAGTACACATTGATGGCCTAAGACACGAAGCGGTTTGTGTGAGAAAACGAACAGTATTTATATTGTTTTTACCTCGTGTAATCACAGCCATGTCCAACAGATTTGACGGCGCATGCGCCGGAAATGATCGCTTTCGTGTGTACGTCACTCATTGTTTACACAGAGATTTTGGAAGTTTTACCTTTCACTGTGAAGATCTAAACACATTTAGATATACAGGAAATCACAATGGAAGACGATTTCGACATATCTAAATATGTTTAGTGAAAGGTAAATCTTCCGAAATCTCTGTGTAAACAATGAGTGACGTACACGTGCAAGCGATCACTTCCGGCCACTGCGCAGACCGAAGCGCCCGTGCCGTTAGATCACTTGGACATGGCTGTGGTTTCACGAGGTAAAAACGATATAAATACAGTTCGTTTTCTAACACAAATTGCTCGTTTTGTGTCTTAGGCCATCAATGTGTACTTACGAATCATTAAATCATGTTTAATTTTGACTTCTCTGTGCTGATAGACTACAACGGTTTGACCGAAAAATATCAAAATTGAAAATACTGGGAAACAAAGACACCTACATATTGGATGCCCTTGAGGTAAGATAAAATATATCAAAAATTAATTTCAAAGTGAACTATCCCTTTAAGTAAACATGAAGTGTGTATACATTACTAGAGTCTAGGATTTTTTATTTTAAACAATAGGAACTTCACAAATGTTTAACTGTGACGCATATCACTAGGAAATCATTCACACTTTTCAAACACCCTCTGCTTAGTTATCAAGCTTGGGTTCAAGGACACTCTGAGGATGCTTTACTCATGTCAGCAGTGTTAGTTCAGCATTAATCAGTAGCCATGCTGATTTGCGTTCCGTTAGTGGTAACATTAAGTCTTTAGAGCCTGTTGTAAAGGGGATGACGTGTTTGTGTGTAGTGGTTTAGCATGCACTTCCAGTAAATTTGTACGACTTTGCATGAGTAGTTATCAACACTGTGGAACTGAGGAAGGATTTATGCATGTATGCATTTTGTGCGCAACTCTCTACCTTGTGGTTTGGGATGCAGTGGTGGCCGTAGGTCTGAAACTCTTCCATTTACTCCAGTTTGGCTCTTATTGCTGAATCTGCATCCACGATTCAACTTCTCATTTGGATGACCTTGCTCATCAGGACTGCTTCTGCCAACAGCTGCAGGAGACAAAAGAAGGATGGAAATAAATGGAACGGTAGTCGTTTCGAAAGCAGTTTATTTGATATACTGTAAAAGCCACACTGTATGTGGACTTCAATTGAGTAATGAATACAGCCTGCAAATACAGGCTTCTGGCTTCTGGGCAGAAGTGAAATGCAAGAGGTATGTTTTTTGTATTCCTGATATCAGTCAGGGCTGGTATAAAAGTGACCATGAAACTAAAAGTGACAAACTTGAAACACAAGTTCCTCGTCGTCAATTGCAGAACAAACAAAGTGTTTGAGATCGTTTGGATGATCAATATTCAACCTATGAGGAAGCTTTTTTGTTCAACTCAACCAAGAAATGTTTCCTGAAAAATGTTTCCTGAAGCTTTGACAAAAAAAGGCATGCACATATCTGTAGACAATGACAGATGGCCTAGAAAAGCTCAGATCTAAAAATGACATGGGTCATTATGTCGCACATGAGGAATTCAGTTTTGTTTTGGATATGGAAAAATAACTGCATGCAAATTATCTTTTTTCTATGGATGGTTGTTTCCATGACGGAATAAAAAAAAAAAAAAAAGTAAAATAACTTTTCATGTGGTTCTCACATTGTCAAACATTCCAACAAAATCAAAAAAAAAAAAAAAAAGAAGCACAGACAGGTTTCTCTTTCCCATTTTACTTTCATAATGTGAAATATTTCCGGCGTAAAGTGTTTGAGTACATGTAATTAGTTCCCATACTTAAGTATCTTTTTGGCTACTTTGTAGTTTTACTGAGCATCAAAGATAATAGCAATTTTTTTTTACTATCTACTTGATACAATTTTTTAATAAGTAGGAACTCTTTACTCAATTACTTTTGTGAAACGTGTTCCAATTAGTCATTCAATTTTGCAAGGCACCAAACTTTTTCTGCAGCAGTTTATTTTCTTAGTGATATCGCCATGATCTACGGGGCATTGAGTCGAGTGTACTATATATTATGTGTTTTGCCCTTACCCATACTTGTCAACGAGGCTACTTCACGCAAATGTGATGCATTAGCAGGTAATTGCTGAATCGCAGGTGAAGACATGACTGAACTGAAGCCAGTGATGAGGGCAAAACCAGCACATCCAGTGCAAGTAGACGTTGACTAGATACATTTACAAATTTACATCTCGCAATTCTGACTTTTTATCTCAGAATTGCGTGATATAAAGTCGCAATTGTGTGTTATGAAGTCAGAATTGTGTGATATAAAGTCGCAATTCCCTATAATAGGACTTTATAACAATTCTGAGACAATATTTCAGAATTGCGAGATAAGTCGCAATTGCGTGTTATAAAGTCACTATTCTGAGTTTATATCTTCCTATAGTAAAACTATTATTTTTAAAGCTATATCATCCTTGGTGTGAATGTGGCTTTAGATTAAAAGAGTGTTGCAGCACATGGTTAACCTCTCCAAAATTCCTTAAATTACTTGACTCATGGTCAGGACAGCAAAAAGTGTCTTTTTGAGTTCATAAACATAAAATACACATGCACACACAACATTAACAGTCATATTGAAAGTCTAGCCCTTTTTTGACATCTTCGAAAACCCCATTTGGATGCAATGAACAGGAAATCCAAGACAAGTGTGTTGCTTTCTACTGTAAACCGTCTTGTCAAAGGCACGCAATGCATGCAAATGAAGAGCCCATGTCCTGTTAAATTAAAGCATGGGGATGTTAATGCATTACTGAGCACAAAGCGAGCCTTTCTATGGCTTTCTCGGGCCTTTTCTTCACTTAGCCCAATCTAAACATCTTAGGCCAATAGGCTGCATGGGACTGTCCGTGTCTGACAATGAACAATGCTGTTGTGCTGGCAGTAAATATATGGTGGTTGTGAGGGTGAACAGCTTCATGTGTGATTGGTCCATTCATCTCAGTTTTGGCTCAGTTTGTGGCTAGGATTGAAGCAAGCTTTCTTTTAAGGCTGGGGGGAAAGCCTCTAAATGCCTGTATTTTAGTAGCTACGTATACTTTACATGGATGTTTTTTTTTGTTTCAACCGGAATGAAATCTTTCTGATTGATAATTCCAAACACAGTGTTTACATGAACCCTAAATAATTGACCGGGCTGATGTGCGCGTTTATATGTCACAAGCTTCAAAACGGATGTTCTTTTAACCAATTCATTTCATACTGAATGACATGGTTACATGTGACTTTACATTTTCTTTTTAACTCTACTACAAGTCAGATATTCTGATTACAAATGGATTATTAGGGTCCATGTAAACGCAGCAACTTATATCAGAATTTATTTTGATATTAGTCTAAATATATATATATATATATATATATATATATATATACCCCCAGTGAGTTTGTCCATATTTATTCATTGTCTGTGTACTTAATGACAAAAAGTCTTGTGCAAACATCTAGCAAACTTGCACTGTGACAGTGAGTTGTGCATAGGCAAGCTCCACCCATGCTTCCATAAAATTTGGATTAAAAAAAAAAAAAAAAAAAAAATTACAAATATTAATATTTGTAAATAATTAAATATTACATTAAAATACTACAGAAAAGACAATAATAGTACTTGCCTACTAGGCCTAAGTATCAAAACACCTAAAGAAACATGCAGAAATCATTAGTATATAATAAGTGCCTGTTGTGCTTTCACACATTTGTTTTTATCAACACATTTCTCATAATTTTTCAATTTAAAGGTCATGTGTTAACAGGGCCGGTTGTCAAAATGAAGAAGTTGCAACAGCACCGGAAAACTTCTGATGCTGCATGTGAAACGCATAGTAAAATTGATAGTTTAAACACAAGTTTAGACATAAATAAGAATGCTGCTGTCAAACGGTATGAGCCAAAGTTCTGAAAAAGCTGACAACACTTCACAAGGTTTACTTGTAAATCTGTCACACGGGACTCAAAATGATTACTGACACTGTGGAAAGACATGTCAAAGACAAACTGGATATATGCAAAGACGAAAAGCTTCTCTTCATCTGAACAGAGATGAAGACATTTTTAGACCTAGAAGAGATTTTCGTATTAAATCAGACCAAACTCTGAAACTCTCGCTCTATCTGTTATACAATTATGTGTGCCGTTATTTTACACAAGACAAATTACCATGGTTTTAACCTTTTTCGTTGAAGGTGCTTAAAGGCCATTTCCGACAATTAGTATAGTTTTAACAGCATTTTGGTGCTGATGTCTGATATATGGATATAAAAGTGGTTGGAGATGAGGTAGATTTACCAGAAAAGGCAGCTTGGCAATTTTGCTGGAATTAACTACCTTAGCTTGTTTATATGAGCATACCTGCCTAAGAAAACATCTTAAGCATCCTCAGGTGAATAATGCAGCTAACCTCTGGGCAGGGCCTGGATCAGTCTACAATCTACATAACTGGCCTTGTCTTGATGGGTTTTGCAGCTGTAATGAGTAGAAGAATGAGCCAGGTAGATGTCACACCACATGTGGTCTAGTGAATGTATAATTATTGCTGCTAAAATGTGAGCATGGGAAAAAGTACAAATGTTCCGCATTCCCAGGGTCTAAAACACAGATTTGTGCCAATTTTGGCATTCCTAGCTAAGTATAGAAAGGAAAAAAAAGTCTGTGGTCTGACCTGACATATACAGAGAGCTCAGTTAAAGATAACGGCTTCATTATCAGAAGAACAACGTCCGAGTTAAATAACAACAGTTTGTTCCAGTAAAGGATTAATGTGTCTGACCTTTAGTCACTAATCTCATTTCATGTTTGTACATGGAAGTTTGACACATAAGATCCACTTTTAACTAGTTATGGTTACAAATAGCAACATAATGATCCACCTTACTTTGAATAGTAAAATTTGCAGCTTATGGTAAAAACACCATTCAGTACATTTGAATATGGCTACACTTTGGATCTGTACTATCAATAAAAACCTTGTGGGAAAGTACAAACACAGAACAGCTTATTTAGTTCGCAAACTAAAGTGGGAACTGGCCATACGGAGCAGGAATAGCAAGCAAAAGTGTTTCAGAACTTGTCCTGCAATAGAGGAACATAAAGAGGCAATAAAATTACTTGAAGGAAGTTAGAAATGCACATATGTAAAATGCATTTCCTTAACCATGCAATGGTGTCAGATTAAAAATGCAAACCAAGACTGAAAAATGTGCTTAATTAAAAAAATAAAATAAATAAAAAACATAAAAAAATTCAGAAAAAAAAGCAGACAGGTGATCAAATAAATATAGTAGATTCATATCATTTAACATATTCATGTAAATAACAGAATAATTACAAAAATGAAAAATGCATGCAATCCAACAATATGTCACACTCACAAAGTAGAAAACAAAAACTAATGTGTGTCAAAACACACAAAAGGTTTTCAAGAGTCCTCGGCTAATGTACTGTTGCCAAGTTGAATTATACTGTTAACCAATGAAAACACAGGACTAGCAGGGGTAAGGTTGTGATCAGTGTTAAAGCTAGAATAATCTCACCTTCTGTCGGTTAAAATTAGTCCAAATAATCCCAGGACAACGAGAGAAATATAAGAGCTGTTTTCTTCATTCAAGCCTTCCGGTCGTCTAAAAACCACAGACTGACTGAAACTCTGCCACAAAGACACGAGGAAATGGTCCCTCCCTCTACACACACACACACACACTGTACCCTCAAGCCTAACAGGCCACTTGCTTTCAAACACCGTCATAACCAATGGTCATATATTTCTCCTTTTATGTTCAGGAGAAAAAAGAAAGCAGAGGTGTGGAATTTAGTTAGTTCATTATCTTTCCTGAATTAACCCTTTAAAACCTTCAGAGCACAGTCCAGTGTGAGTATTGTTGCATTTCTGAATGGAGTGAGACTCAGGAGTTTGACTGTGAGGGCAAGACAAGTAATGAAATTATTTGATAGTAGATGAACAAATGCAAAAGTCCTTAGTCAGGGACAGGGTGGATGACACACTGAATTTTATTTTACACACCGAGTTGCCAATTGAAAGGTTTTTTGGAAGGATGTTTTGTCTTCATTCCTGTCAAAAACCCTAACAAGTCTATGGTGTCCTTTCAAAAGCTTAATTCCCAGCCCTCTCAAATCTCTGTGTACTTGTAGTGGCACATAAACCCTCTGACGGGTGACACACAGACACACCATTCAAGTTCATTAAACTGTTTACCAGATTCCACTACAGATCTGATTTACTTTAATCTCATTTTGACATCAAGTGGGGACAGAAGAGTTGTGTCCTGAGTATCTTCATGAATCGCAGACAGCCACAACTCAACCAAACTCAACTCAAAACTAAAGTATGTCTAGAACAAGTTGTGCCCTCAGACTTTCTGTTGCACTTAATGAAGTCAAATATTCATATTCTGCTTTGCTGCGAACACCTCCGGTGCCAAAATGAAGCTATGTTTAGTTTTTGCAGAAATGCAGATAAGACATCTAAACATCAACTTGCCATTGCAACAGTATCCACAACAATCACTAAAGCTGTTGATAATCCAAGCAGGATTTATTTATTTATTTTTTTTGCTTTGCTAATTCAACCACTGCAGGAGAAAACTGAAAACTCAATTAGTGATTTGGTGCATAATGTTTAGCATTTATACTGTTCAAAAGTTTGGGATTTTTAAATGTGTTTGAAGTCTGTTATTTATTCATGTGATATAAAAATTCAATGACCTGAATTTTCATACATTTTCTTTCCAGGATTCTTTTATTAATAGAAAGTTCAATATAATTATTTATTTGATATAGCAATCTTTTGTAATATTATAAAAATTTATTTACTTGTCACTTTTGATCAATATAATGCATCCTTGCTGAAGAAAAATAATTTCTTTAAAATTGACCCCAAATATTTCAATAGTAGTGTGCGATGATTCAAAACACTGCACACAAAAGGAAATAAGCAAGGAAAAGCCACTTAACCACTAGGCCAAAACCACACCATTAACCACCTGTTCTTTTCTCATGTAATCAACTCAGTGCTATCTCCTACATTATCATAAGTCCACTATTGGTTAAGCTCAGTGTTCATGTCTCTCAGCTTAAACAAGTCTGACCAGCACAACTACTGTAATGCCATGTCACCACAGACTTTCATTTGTATTCCCATATTGACTAGAGAACAAAAACTTCTCCATGTGTCAAATGAAATCAGACTTTGTGAAGGTATAACATGGCATTTGATTACACATGGAGCTAGAGACTCTCACATCACAATGCAATATGATTAAATATGTAATCCTGTATTTGAAATTACAGGTAAATGTATTCATCAAGCACTTTTATCCGGGTGTAGGCGGATGCTAACAAGTGGCTAAATAGGACTAGAGAGTTTGTAACATTAAACATCACTCCAAACTCGTCTACTCTAGTCCACTTTCACAACCTTGTTTTGTTTATCACGCACTTACTATTATTACTCGAACTTTCAGGGAAAAATTTTCAATCAAAGACTGAAAGGGTTGTCAGAAGCTTAGTAGTGGCTACTAAACTAAGGTGGAGTACATTGTACATACTATTTTGCATTTAAGGTTAAGATGATGATGTCAGATGAATGATTCTGTTAAGCATAGTTTCCAGCAAGAGTTTTCTGTCAGTTCCTCTTTATTGTAAATCAAATAAACCAGATTACGGAGACTGTCACCTATTGTCTTTAATGGCCCTTGGAGATCCTGTCCCATTCTTTGAATAGTTATGCTGCCTGGAATAGGACTGGTGATACTCTAGAGTCTGGGGTGGGTTCCTATATCGGTTGTCGCCCAGGTGTTGTCACTGCCTCCTAAAATCTACAATGTATGACTGCCTTAGTGGGACTTGATGACTGCAGCTACGAAACAGCAAATTCTCAATAAAGAATCCCTTTAAAGGAGATACAACCAAGTCTCCTGGTCTCCGCTTCTGAATTTCCACATTTTGCATTTGAATTCTGACCATTGTATTTATGCTTTAAAATTTTTTTTTTTTACAACAAACAAAACGTGTAAGAATCAAGCTTTGCATCAGTTTGGAAAGGCCTGAAAAACATCACCAATTACTGTACAAGACACCAACCCCCAGCACTTCGAATCAACAACTGGCTGACAATTTGAATGAGTTTTATTGCAAGTTTGAAAAACGTTTTTTTATTGAGGGAACCAGGGTTATGCTATCTTTTGGCTTGGTTTAAAAAAATACATCCATGTACCACTCTATTTCTTGCATAACAATCTGAGTTTCTGCCCTTGACACAGAAGCAACAACCAAAAATTATTTTGTAAAGTGCATGGTTTCGATTTATGTGGTGACATGCTTAGCAACCCACCGTAAAAGCTCATTGGTTCAGTCATTCTGCCCCACAATTTGTACATTAAAGCAACATCAAATGTGGACTGAATTAACTGCAAAATTCTCCAAAGTCATCTCCATGATAACATGTTAACCTCCATACATTAAACAAAAGACCAAAACAGACCAAAAACTGAGGTGGCCCATTGACCCCAGTGCATGTTCAGTCATGCTCATTCATTTCCATAACACTTAAAACTACTACATAACATGTAAATGTATCTGTTATCTCTAACAACAGATCATAAATACAACAGCTTGCAGCTGCAGGTTTATTAGGAAAGATTCATTCATTCTGACAAAAACAGCAGACTCACATGGGTCCAAGACTTAATGCACAGAGAAAGAAATAGACAGAATAAGAAGGAAATGAAGGGGGGGATATTGCCCACCTTTGTTTTGAGCAATTTTCACCCCAATACAAGGTTCCTCTTCATCAGATTGTTTGGAGGGAAAGCAGCTGGGGTTGCCAGCTTTATCTGAAAGACAAAATAAGAAATATTTAGTACTTTCTATTCTCGCATAGTCTATAGTCTTAAGTGCCACACGATCCTTCAGAAAACATATATATGCTGATTTGGTGCTCAAGAAACTTATTTGTAACAAGGTTAGGTGTTGTGGGAAGAAGGAGGCGCCGGCGGGAACTTTCAACAAACTTTAATACCAAAAATTAAACAAATACAAAACGAAAGTAAAAGACGGCAGCCCCTCACGGACGACTTTTGTCACATAAACAAAAATAGTCCACTATATTTGTATAAAATAAAACATTATTCTAAACCCTGCAGGCTATAAAACCATATTTCCTACGATGCACGGAGGACCTATAAGTTGTTAACTAGCATATATGGACTGCAAACATTCAAAAACAACAAATGGCCTGAAAAATATGTTTTTTTTTTCTGAAATGGAGACATGAGCAGATGTCACGTAATACTGGAATCTACATTCCAGTAACTAAAAAGGTAAAATAATTTTGAAGTACTTTCACGATGATCTCGATATAGATGGAAAATAAGAAGAATAGAAATTCAGAGAAACTTGTGGGTAGACTAAATAAAAGAACAGGAAGAACACTAAAATGACACTAAAACGGTCAAGAACATGTCTGGATCAATACACGTGGCCACCAGAAACAGCACACTCGTACTGTATGTACTTGTTGATGTTGAACATGGTTGTGAGGATTTGATCCCATTTAGATATGAATGCCATTGCATCCCAAAGGTGTTCAATGGATTTCAAGTCTGGCTTTTGTGCAGGCCAGTTCTTTAACACAAGGCTCAAATGATTTTGATACGAATCTTGCTTAGGGAATAGAGAATTGTCCTGATATAATAGAAAAAGACCCACTGCAAATTATACCAAACTGAAAGCTTATTATAACTTCACAATACAAAATAAATAAGAAATTATATCAATTAGATGAAGTTGAAAGATTAAAATAATGTCATAATGCAAAATAAAAACAAAATAGACTTATAAAAAGTCAAAAAAGCCACAATGATTGATAAATAAACAGACTTAATTTAAATACTGAATGTAAAATATACATTTTACCTTAGAAGTGAAACCATAAAACTGTTTTATGTATGATATTATGATTGTAGAACTATTAAGACAAATGTATTCTGGATGATAAAAACACTGAGCAGAATGCATGCGTGTGAAGAGAGCTCATGAGAGAACATTAATCCAGCATTTGTAGCAAAACAAAAGAAAAGTAAATCCCCAGAGACGCACCAGCAATTAATTCTCTCTATTTCTAATGCACATAAAAGATGAAAGGCAAACAGTAAACAAGTGGCGTGTGGTTTCCAATTGTTCACACATGTGCACATGAAGGCACACATAGAGGCTCAGTTTATAAAGCGCACAGCTGAAAATAGAAAATTGTTACACTACTGAGAAACAATTAATCAGGCAGGGAAAGTAAAGTCTAAAATAATGCAGTGAATGATGAAGAACTCAAGTACATTAACCAGCTGAAACGTAAAGCATTAAAGAGACCAAATGTTTAATAAAGAGAATGTAACAAAAGCAGTCAATTTAATGTGCATTTAAACAAGTTTAAAATATTGTGTGTGTGTGTGTGTGTCTGTGACTGTGTGTGTGCGTGCATTTTATAATGGGAGTGAGATTAAAGCAAGGCTTTTTCCTTGTACCATCTGGAGCCCTTGTGACAGGAGGATCTGGTGTCCCCCGCACACTCAAACGTACACACATGTTCACATAAGTCATTTTTAATGGCAGCTTTTTAAAAAAAAACAAAAAAAAAACATTCTGTAAGCTAACACAACCACAACAAACAAACTTTAACAGACATGAAAGAAGGGGCTTGTGGGAGCCTTTATGCATGATCAAATACAGACTCTCCCAATAAACACTGCACAAATCAGCACTGAATGAGTACTGAGATGTGGATAACCATCCAAATTGTTTCCATGACACCTCAATTAATCAGTTTGCTTGGTTAGAAACACAACATACAGTCATCTGTTATTTGAATACAACTGAAAAATAGTAATGGCATGTTTATGAGGTTATTTATGATACTGTGTAGCATGTAATTTAGCATTTATGTGGAGCCCTTGTTAGAGCATTAGAGTAGATTTGCCATGAATCATGTTCACAGCCAAGTGGCCATAATGAATGTAAACACTGTGGTATTCAAGAAGGCTGTGAATTATGGATTTGGTCAAAGTATTTATAAATGCACCCCTAATTTAGACTCAGTCCATTTCCATGTATGCAATGCATGCATTTAATGTAGCCTAATTGTAACCAACTATCAGAACACTGAGCTGAACTATTATGCATGAAAACAAACGTATATCAGATTAATCCTGCATTTATCATCTGTGCTTCGAACACTGATTCAATATTGCCAGGCAAAAAAAAAATAGTAACAGTTTCTACCAAAATACGACAGGTATGCAGCTACTGTCATTATTACTACTGTACTGTAACAGCATAGTATATTAATAAGAGATTGCATTTAAACTGGGTAAGAGCAACAACATTTCAGAACATTCACGACTGTAGTAATTGTGTTTCTTCTTTATGATAATGCGATTTAGAACAGTTTTAATCACAATATAATCATAATTAACGAAGACAGTAATAACTGACCACCACCATCCTTACTTGTGCGGGTCATATTTCGCTCAAAAATAACCAAATTATGTTTTGGGGGAAAAAAAAAAAAAGAAATGTTACTTTTATCATTGTTCTCAATATAGTTTGATAACTGTATTACATAAAAATTATTCAAAATAATAATACAATAAATTTGACTTTTTTTATTTTTGAATTACAGTAATGCAATGTCCCAATGTAAAAAAAAAAAACATAATGAAATTTTTTATTTTTTTTTAAATCAAAAATGTCACATTTCGTATTTCTCCTCCTTCGACCCTAGAGAGAATAAATGGAGAATGGATGGATGTCTTATATCTTTTGATTTTGGGATGATATATGACCAGGGGGGCTTTGCATAAACAGCTAATACTAGTCTTACAAGTTAGTCATCAAATTTTTTCTGTAAGACTGATCATATCTGTTTTTAAGTCACTTAAAAGTTAAGTTAAAAAAGCAAGACTGATTGCTCCTTGACTAACCAACCACCAGTTGGTCATACTAATAATTAAGACACAGAGTGTGTCTTAACATAATGGCTATGTTTATGCAACTGGCCTGCATGGACACATTTTTGACCTGCTGTATGAGATTTACCTGTTTATATGTGTAGGAATTTACAGCAAACTGTTCACAAGATGAAACAATCAGATAGACAACATGTGCCATCAGATGTATAAATGGCCTGATGGACTGAATGCATCTCTCTGCCTTATCGTGAAACTGGCATAGGTCAAAAAACTGGTCTAAACGACCAGTTTAGAGTTCTTTGAATTCTTTGCACGAATGCATGTGAACTGAAAGTCAAGTCATAAGAAAATGCATAAGAGTGAGAAAAATACCTGATCTGTTATTGGTTCTCCGTTGTGGCTGGGCTTGTGTTTCTCTCACATGTCTAAGATGTTTCTCCATCTTAAAATCACACAGTAATACACTGAGCAACAGGGAAAGGCCCTCTACATGCAACTCGCTTTACAAACGTCACCCAAAACAAGCAGCAGCTTTTATTCTTCCTGTGGCTGTCTTATTCTTTCCTCCCCTCACCGGTGGTCACAAAACCGTTTTTTTTTTTTTATTTATTTTTTTTTTTACAGAAGTCGGATATGGACTGTAAGTAAACGTTTATTGAATAACAAGATACATCTTATAAGATATTGCACTGTGCTTCCAATATCTGCAGAAGAAAATGAAAGCCAAACGCAGTGTAGGCATTCAAAAAAAAAGATGTCTGCATACAGTACATGAATTTGCTGACTGTTGGCAAATAATTACATGAGTCAATAAAGCTGCTGAGTGACGGATGAAATAGAAGGAAGTCTTAATGTGTGATATCAACAAACCAACCCACCAACCCACTTAAAAAGATATTAACATGGTTGGCATACTTTCTAAACTATAATAAAACATTAAAGGAGTAGTTAACTTTTGAAAAAAAAAAAAAAATTGCTGATAATTTACTCACCCCCATGTCATCCAAGATTTCCATGTCATTCTTTCTTCAGTCGAAAAGAAATTAAGGTTTTTGATGAAAACAATCCAGCATTTTTCTCCATATAATGGACTTCAGTGGGAACCAAACGGTTCAAGGTCCAAAAGACACTTTCAGTACAAATTGCAAACTGTACAAAGGGCTTTAAACGATTACAGACGATGAATAAGGGTCTTATTCAAGTGAAACGACCACTCAATTAAAAAAAAACAACAAAAAAACAAAGTTTAAGTTTTAAGCTCAAATGGTCGCCTTGCTCTGTTCTGTGATGCACGTTCGTGACTCTCCTGTTCGCACTCGTTTATCAAAATGAACTAATCTTTTTCCGTGTCATTTGGTTCATTCAACGAACGAAATGAATGAGTTGAAAAGATTTCATTATTTTGATGAACGAGTTCGAATAGGAGAGTCACGAACGCGCATCACACCCTAACCCTAACAGAGACCCTTATTCATTGTCTGGAATCGTTTAAAGCCCTTTGAACAGTTTGCAGTGAAACTGTCTTATAGACCTTGAACCGTTTGGTTCCCACTGAAGTGCATTATATGGAATGTTTTCATCAAAAACCTTAATTTCTTTTCGACTGAAGAAAGAAAGACATTGAGATCTTGGATGACATGGGGTTGAGTAAATTATCAGCAAAAGTTTTTTGAAAAGTGAACTACTCCTTTAAGGTTGCTATTAATGTCATAATCATGAAATGACTCATAATCTTAGACTTCTGTCTGCCTACGAATTTTTAGCATGCTGTCTTAATGTAAGATATTGACTGTGATCAGTATGATAAGAGAAATCAGGTGTACTAAGTTTCATTTTTCTCAAAAGTTATAACCATTTGAAAAGAGAATTTTTGAACTGGTGGTAGCACTATAGAGTTGGTTTATAGAGTAGGGGCTTGGCCCCTTAATAATATACAGGATCAATTTGAGAGCTTGCCTGTGGAAAAGGCTATGAGACTTCTGTGGTTGCCATGGTCTTGTTGTGCAGTAAGGTGTTGTGACTGTTTTTAGAGCATTATAATTAGGTTCCCAGTGGTTGCTACTGTAAGTGGATTCCTACTGTCAAATAATTTGACTGTTGAAATGAAAATTAAATTACTGTTGTCCCTAATATGGCACAAGTCCCTCTACCAAATCAGAGTCTATGGGATTCTTTCACCTGTTTATCATATCAAGTCATCGCACCTTTCATAAATAAACTGCAAAATTTTAATTTGAGCAAAATTTGACATGTTTTAAAAAAAAAATTCAGAATAGTATTTAATATTGTTTAAAAAAATCTGTATCTAGAAATCTGTACATAATTAGCTATTTAACTAACATAATTGTGATGCTTTGTTCTCTTTTTTGAGCTTGTTTAGAGTCACTTTCGCACACTTCTGCTTTTTGCTTCTTGCATGTGTGCATGATTAACTTCACAACTGAAAGCAGTCACATGTTTATCAGTGAGAAGCAGATAAAAATACAACATTTCTATGCACCCTTTCTCAGTACGAGACAGTGTGGGCATAGGCGGAAATCGCGGGGGGGTCGGGGGGGTCAGGACCCCCCCTATCTGAGGGTTGTCCCCCCCCAAAAAAAAACATTAAAATATGTGTATTGTAAATAATGTAATGATATGTTCTTAAAATAATTAAGAAATAAAAAAACACAAATGCAAACGGGGCAATATCGAAAAAAGCGTTCTAAACATTTTGAGACCCCCCTCCCTTGCCTCACAGTGCATTGGTCCACTGCCTCCGTCCTTTTTACCTCAGACACGCTTATTCCGGTGGCGGGAGAGAAGAACATAGTTTTTGAGTAGTTGTGGAACGCGAGTAAAGGGGTCGCACACCGGACGAGAAGCGTCGCGCAGCGCCACGTCTTTAAAATTCGAACACATTATTCTCTATGAGTGTACACACACCGGCGGCGCCGTTCGGCGTCTGTCCGCGGCGCCCAGCAATGGCTCAGGACCGTGTTCAAAACCCTGCTGCGCCACAGAGTGCCATTTACATAGTTTTATATACAATTTAAATTATTTTTGTCTCAAATCGGTGCTGACGGATCCTGACTTCGCCCTATGCTGCAATATGCATTTAGTTTTGCATTTATTTATCAGCTGCTTGAATGACTTGCTGGTCTTATTGGATTTTTCAGGTGAGATTCTCAATTCATTCAGTAAACGGATGCTCTGAGGTAAAGTTTTCAGACTGCAGACTCAGGAACGATTGTATTTAATTGTACTAACTGTTACAGTACAATAATAGGCTAACTTAGAACAGACATTATCTTCATGTCATTAAACATTACAATATTGCTGGCCATACACTGGTGAGAAAGTCCGGGTGCGCTGTGCATTTAGATTGTAACGCTTTCACTGTGATTTAGTTGGTTTATATCATTTAATATAGTTAAAGAATGAGTCAATGAATGAAATGAAATCGCTGCGCTGCGTGAGGAGAGTATGTAAACAGATTCGCTGCTGGCTTAAACCAGAAAGAAATTTTAAGAATGAAATGGTCTCCATGCTACACTAATAATAGTAAGGCTTTCCTCTGTATTTTTTTTTTTTTGCCTGTATTATTGGTGTCCCCTTCAAAATTTGCTCTTGAGAATTGTTATGTTTATTGTCCCCCCCAACATTTTGATGAAATTTTCGCCCCTGAGTGTGGGTGTCAGTGAGTGAGGTCATCAACCCCACACAGTTCACACAAGACTGCGTAGAGGGCCGACAAACCCCTTAGGTAAGGAAAATGACAACAATGCAGTCCTGTATATCTCAATTGTCTCTTCTACAAGGAAATAAGATTAGAAAGAGCAATTTGGACTTTGCTAGAAAAAAAACACCCCAAGATATTAATAATGTCACAAACTGAGCTCAGAATTATCTAGATAAAAAGTTTGTAATCAAAGGTCAGAGATTAATATGAACTCAAACATTTCTAATTGAGCCCATATTCTTTAAAGTTATTGGTCAAAAATTTGGAATAATTAAGATTTTTAAATGTGTAAAAAAACATCACCAAAGCTGCAATTATTTAACAAATACAGTAAAATCAGTAATAATGTGAAGTATTCTTAATTTAAAATAACTGTTTTTGTTTTTAATATTTTATAAAAATGTTTTTAAAATATTTTATTCCAGTGATGTCAAAGTTGAATTTCCCAGTCTTCGGTGTCACATGATCCGTCAGAAATCATTCTGATGTTGATTTGCTGATTAAAAAAGAAAGAAGCTTTTTTTCAGCAAGGATCAAAATTCAACAACGAATCATGAAATAATATATATTATGCTTTTCACCAAAATAATAAGCATTGAAAACGGTTTCCAACACCGGTAATAATAAGATTGAGTACCAATAATAACTGATAATAAATTAAAGGCTGGAATAATGGCTGCTGATCACAGGAACCGGAATAAATTACATTTTAATATATAATTAAATAGAAAACGTAATTTTAAATTGTAATATTATTTCACAATATTACCATTTTCACTCTATTTTTGATCAAATAAATGCACCCTTGGTGAGAATAAGATACTTATTTCAAATACATAAAAAAAAGTAACTGTTCCAAACTTTTGACCGGTAGAGTAATAGCAGAAGTTCTCTATTTTTAGGTCTTGTCGTTTTATGTCGTTGAAAAAAAAAAACGTTTTCAGACACCAAGGGAGAGAGCACTTGAACCAAGGTGCTAAAGCAGTCTTAGCTGTCTCTGATGGCTATGCACACTACATGTGTGTTATTTAGCATGTGAAGTACATTTTAACATTCCCTTGATCCTGTTAACAGATACTTCTCTAGTTAATCTGATAGCTGTGAGGTGTTTGCTGGTGGCAAATCACACACTTATCATCACACAAACACGCACACAGATCTCCACCTGCTTCCACAAAGCACCCTGACCTGTTTTCCACATCCATCTGTTTCTGCATCTGTCTGTGTGGCTGATTCACCCCATGGACACTCATGGGACTCGTGCCACCCCAAAAATGCAGTTTATATGTTATTGCTTTAGGTTTTACACAAGCACCATTCAAATCCACCCACATACTCTCTCTCTCTCTCTCTCTCTCTCTCACACACACACACACACACACTGCTGCTTCAGTGTCTGCAGAATTAAAAATGCATCCTCCCAAGATAAAAATGTCACACACAAACATTCTTTCATGTCCAACACAGCACAGGTATCTGTTCTAGACTAATTGAAAGACTAAACCGTAGAGTCTGCAGCGGTAAACCTGAAAAAGCTTCAGGAGCCACAGCCCTTCTCAACTGTGGTCAGCTCAGCTGTGTGCGAAAGCGAAAGAGACAGCACTGACCTGATGCGAGGCTTCGTCGGTTTCGAGATGGCAGCGATAAGTGTGGGCGAAAGAGATTTCCACTTCAGTTCTCCAGAGGAACGGAGCCGTCGTCTTTATCCAGAGAATCACGGCAGACTGAACAGCCCTCTCATGAACCCTCCCTCTCTACTCTAGCCGTGCTGCCGCACACTCTGCATCCTCCATCCTTCCTCTCTCTCTCTCTCTCTCTCTACACTTGGTTCACTCCTCCTCCTATTTCTTTCCTCCCTCACTTGCTTCCCCCTCAGTGTGTTTTCCGCTCAGCCTCATTTTTTTTTCTCCACAGAGGATAATCACATTCCAGAGGAGGGACGGCATATGGCTGGGAAACGCCACGCGTTCTTGTCTGTCCGTCTTTATGTGCCAATGTGTGTGTGTTGCATGGACAATTACCCCTATTGTGTCGCTGGAGGGGTGGGCCAACAAACAGGGGTTGGGGGTTTGGGATAAAAGGGTGGGGTGAGACACGCTAGGAAAAACTAGATGAATATTGATGAGTGGTTATGATATTTGGAGAATGTCAGTTCTCCTCCCCTGATTGGTCGGGTCGTCTGAGTCCACGAATCGTTATAATTCAGTAGAGGGGTGAAAATGAGGCTGATTCTATTGGAGGGCACACACCGGTCATGTGACGAAAGGACTAGGCCACATGGGAGACAGCAGAGGAATACAGATGAGTCAGTGATTTGTGGGGGAGGGGAAAGGGGGGGGAGTGCACTGTCACCACCTACAATATTCTCACACTTTTAGAGATGAAACAAAGGAAATATAAAACTCTTCACTGTACGACAACAGACAACAAGTACTCTGGTAACATAATGGCTTTTGTATCATTTCTCGGGGTACCACTGTATTGCTATTTATTACCACGGTAAGGTGATAATAAAGTATTTTTTACCCAAATATACATCTATTCAAATATACAGTATATACTACGATTCAAAAGTTTGTGGGTTAATACTTTTATTCAGAAAAGACACATTAAATTGATTAGAATAGACAGTTAAGACAATAAAAAAAATGACAAAACATTTCTATTTCAAAACGTATTATTCATCTAAGAAACCTGAAAATACCCGTTTCCACAAACATATTAAGCAGAACAGCTGCAGTCAAAATTAATAATAATAAGAAATGTTTATTGGGCAGCAAATCAGCCTATTATAATGATTTCTGAAGGATCATGTGACACTGAAGACTGTAATGATGCTGAAAATTCAGCTTTGTCATCATAATTAATTAAATTACATATAATTAATTACATATAATTAATAAATTACATTTTAAAATATGTTACTTTAAATTGTAACAATTTCACCATTACTGTATTTTTGTATTTTGTGTTTTACTGTATTTTTAATCAAATACATGTAGTCTTAGTAAAAATTAGAAAAATATATATAAAAAAAAAAAAAAACGTGCATCAACCCCAAACTTTTGAATAGTAGTACGTATATGTGGAATTTTTGAATAATAAAAAAAAAGAGTAAATATTGTTATATAAAATTATTAATTTGCATCTAAGAGTGTCCTCATTCTCTAAGAGTTATATAAGACTTATTACACAAGATTTTTTTTATGAGGAAGTAAGCTATTTTCTATTTTTTTCTTTGAATTTGCTAGATTCCGTTTCATTATCTGCTATAGGAATTTTTTTCTGAAGAATAATAAAGTGCAAAGAAAACTATTTAATGCTAGACACATTTATTTTACAAATGTCCACTCCCACTCTTATGTTAAAAATAAGGTGGATAAGAGTCAATGGGAATTAATGTCATTTACTTCCTGTTTTTCACATTTACTGTGTACAGAGAATCAGACTCACAGAACAGCTTTATAAAAAACAGTGGTATACAGGAAACTGAATTTAGCCTTTAAAAAGTGCTAGCATGTTCAAATTAAATTGTATTTTCATTTCTCATTTATTTTGGTTTCTGATGACTGTGATCCAGTAAAGCTGACACTGACAGCCTGAGGTGACAAAGTCATACTGAATTCCTGACATGCCTCCTAATGCACATGTACACAAACACACAATCACACTTCGATACTTGACTATAAACCTCCTAATTATTTCTGTCACATGCCTCGGTTTGATGACCCTTGTGCTAATTCATCCAGTCAGGCTAAACACTCCTGACCTATTTTCTTGTATAGTAGTCCCTTTCTGTTTTCACTCACTTATCTGACTTCTCACTCCTTACATGCAAAATAATGCCACCATTCTTGCCCTTTGACAACTACACTTTATTAAGGTCACATCTCAGCAAACACACACAACACATTTCCCATCTCCCCCAGTCCCAGCTCCTGTTTGCCCCGGCCCTTGGCTCCTCCCTCCATCAATACATGTTCAGTCCTCTCCTCCCCCTTCATCACTTGTTGTAATGGAGCCTCAGGCTATGTCTTTTACACTGACATCATCCCCTATAGATGGTTTTGAATGACCATTGACAGTGACACTGCTTTTCAAAGGCAACGGGATTTAGGCTAGTCACTGAAAGTACTAATATTAATCAGGCCTAAAAATAGGCTAATATAATCAAGTGTTTCTACAAAAAACAAAAACAAAACAAAAAACACCACAATGTAACCCCCATTTCCAACATGACATCATGACTTTTGCGTAAACATACGCCACTTTCGAGTCAGGTGGCGTGTTATCTCCACGCATTTTGAGCTATCCGCGTGTATCCGCGTGTATGCGTATATGTCTACGCCATTAACGTCCTCGACTCCGCGTCATTCCGCGTGTCCGTACACGCAGTCAAATCTCCAGTCATAAATGCCATTAACCCCAGTGACGGTTAAGTTTAGGGATGGGGTTGAGGTAATATCTTTTTTTACCTAGGATGGTAAGGGAACAGTCATAAATGCCATTAACCCCAGTGACGGTTAGGTTTAGGGACGGGGTTGAGGTAAGTCATATAATTATATAACGTTAAGTCAACGGCGTTCATAAACACGCTGAAAGGCGATTATGCGTCTTGATAGCACGCCAAAAATGGAAATATGAATTGCCGTGTCATACACACGCTACTTCATGAGATCAGTCTGCCATTTCATAACCCCCAGCGAGATGAAACATATATACGTTAATAAGTTTTAATAAAACGTGATGGTCATATGATACAGTATATCTCCACAGGACATCTCTTTGTACCCACTTTTTGTATCCATATCATACCATAAATCGACTGGCTCGCTAATACTGCTAAAAGACATCAAACAGCTGTTGACCCATTAGGACAGTATTATGGAAGCCATGAACACGTGAGATACACAACAACAACAAAAATGACATGAATGTCACTGAATCTTTAAACTGTACTACTGAGAGTGTGTGAGCAGATGTTTGTGTTCTTAAAAAGGATGCATTATTATTGCAAAAAAAACAAACAAAAAAAAAACTTCCTCGTTATAAATACACAGGACAAGCAAAATACCATCCCAGCATGCATAACACAAACACCATTCAGATTTCCTGTCAGACAGCTTTGTGTGGGTGGGTGTGAGGCCAGAAAGCTGACAAAAAATGTCCTCATTGTTGTCCATGTCCAACTTGGCTCAGTTTATATCAATAAGTCAAACTTGAAGGAAAAACTAAGTTGACACTCATAAATATGTATGTATGTATATATTAACACACAAATCTCATTTGTACTATTTAAAGATGCATGAACACAACATCTTATAGCCTAGACTTAGAGAATCAGCACACATAGACACACAAACAAAGCTGCCCATACTTGTCACTTATTTTGGGAACTGTGTTTTGTGAAGCATTCTTTTATAATGATGACTATGTGAAAGGGCAGTAGAGTAAGTGAGTTATTGCAAACTTCACAGGCTTCAGCACATACAGTAAGCGTAAAAGCATGTCTGCCCCCTGCTGGACAATCAGACGTGTTTAATTTCATTTTTTTTTTCTTTTTTAAATGTCCTATCTATATACAACTATAATGATGATAAACTATAAATATTTAATTTCATTCATTACATGTATATTATATAGCACAAATAAACACAAGAGAAGTTGACCATTGAGCTTTACAAAACAAAAATCCAGGAAACATGAAATTAAATGCAAAATACTATTACCATTGAGACAATGTAATAGAACCATAATTGAAATGTGGAGGATTTTAGAGAAATGCCCGGTCAAAAAGATACAGCTTTAATTTAAATTTAACTCGTATAAAGAGGGCAACGATCTCAGCGATACAGGGAGGCTTTTCCGCAGCCTAGGACCGACTAAAGGCACGATCCCCTCTCGAAAAGACAATAAAATAGGAGTAATATGTTCATATTTGCGATCCCAGTTAAGAATAGCAGAAGCGTTTTGGGTTAGAACGAAAGCATGTATAACCGAATAATAAGTGAATAAAAATAAACATCTATACAATTTAGTTTAATTTAATCTTAATTAAATTCCACATGCATACTGTGATTCAGCTCAAATGTTATACTCTACACACTACACAGGAGAATAGAGAGAAAGGGAAAATGACATATAAAGAGACAGAAACAGAGAGGATAAAGGAAGGAATGGGAGGTGGTGGTGTCCTCATATGGCTCAGAAACTAAAAAGGGATGTAGAACGGGAAAGATCGAGTGTGTACATTGAAACAGGATATGATGTCATTATTCAGGTGCAGCATTAATAAATTTTTCAAAAGCAGAGAACACAGCCCTCCTTCAGCACATTTGTATTTGTGGATCGCTGCACATGTAAAAGCATTCTAATCATCCCACATTTATTTCCTCAAAAGATTAAGCCTTGTCAAACCAATCAACTCTGAAATGAATCACAACATTTGATTCGAAGCAAAGGAGTATTTGAAAGAAGACGGTGTGCATAAGAGAGAATGGTGTGTCAGGATTAGCCCTGAAATAGCTCCAGGCACCATTTCAGAAGAAAACTGAATTCCACAGTAATGGTGTAAAACTTAGGTCTTTATAAAGGTCTATAAAAAACTCTTCACATCGGTCCAAATGCAAAGACACAATGTCCTACCTGCCTTTTAACATCATGCCACCACCTTTTCCAGTTACTCCTACACCATAACAACAAGCTTATGCTGCGTTTACGACATATCTTAACCATAATTACGATATGGCAACATGTTGTGTTCTGCCCGGAGCTGTTCACGTCCTCAGAATCAGATTTAAGCGTTTCTATGTCAACACTACCAAAGCCGAAATGAATCTGCAGCAGTCAAGTGATACAAGTTATTATTTTATTGTCATGTTATGCGCTTTGAAACATGCGTTTTGCAGGCTCTGCTGTGTGCGTTCATGTGTTTTGAAGGAGGCGTGGCTTTAGAGAGCACTCTGATTAAAGGGTGGGATCTCATGCTTTCAAAGCTAGCTTGCTATT